AAATAACAATTTGGTGCAGTTATTATTTATATGGCCAAAAATATAAATTAATGAGACTGATTTATATAACAGACAGTATAGCATTACTGACATAAAATGCATAATATAATTTGGCATTCTATTTCCAAACAACATGTCTTAAGATGATATTTTAATGCTTTGTTTTATGATGAAATCTCAATGTAATGCAGACAAAAACACAATGTAATGCAGAATACACCTACAATGATGATTGAGAGACGAACAAGTAAGCCTGTTCTATCATTATTTGATTCATTTTAACAAATTTTCTAATGCTAATAATTTGCTCGTAATATCCTCTAATGTTTCTTGAGATGTGTGTATGGTAATGTTTAAGGGTGATTCATACTGAAAAATTAAATATTCATAAAAAAAAACTATATGGACAGAAATGTTATGAATTTATTATATATATTTTTTAATTATAATTCAATTTCATGGTATTTGTAATATAATTCTGAATGTTGCACAACCGTGAATAATACATTGGCATTTCTACTTTTTCAAGTGAGTTAAATCACCAGCAAGTGACCTTGCTTGGATCAGCTGAAACAACTGTTATTGCGTGTAAAATCCTAATAAACAAATAAACAAACGAGTGATTTCTACACCCCAAACACTATCATTCTGCAATGCTAACATATAATCACCTTCATGCCCTGTAGGACTAGTTTGGTTTTCACGAGAAACACAGGCAAATCGAATGTGCCGTGCCGTTCAGATAATCTGTTCTTTCGGGTTGTTGGCCTCAAGGTGAAAGGAAGTAGTCGCTCATTAACCACATTACAAGAGTGAAGTAATACTGGCACCATTTCATCGTGCTAACAGCAGAGCTGTAAATAACATATTACAACATCATATTCAAGGTCAAAGTGATTCCACTTCACAAACACTATCAGCAGTCTTAAAGGGAATACTAGAATACTTTCATAGAGTTTGTTTCACTGTACTATACAATCCACGCCACTCTTTTACTGTGGTATCACTGTCTGCTACTGAATTTCATCACCTGTATATCTACCAATGAAATATATATTACCTGATCAAGTGCTGAACACTTTGCCACTTTATTTTTAACGTGTAATCTCTATATTCATTTTCATATACCTTTATGTCTGAATGCAATTGTCGAGTGTCTCCCGTTTCAGCAAACTGATTCTCATCAAGTATTGTCATGTCCAGTCCAGTGACAGGATTTAAAGGGGTCCTCTATTATGCTTTTCCGCTTTTTCAACTTTAGTTAGTGTGTAATGTTGCTGTTTGAGCATAAAAAAGACCTGCAAGGTTACACAACTCAGAGTCCACTCCAAAGGGAGATATTTTATTTATTTATGAATTCCCTTTTCAACAACTACAACAAACGACTCGTTTGGACTACAATACGATTTTTCTAGATCTTATGAAATCCGCACCCACGGAATATGCGAAAAAGGGGACGAGGCCTGGTTGAGCTGCATTAGAGAAGACAGTGTTGGATGCTATGTCAAAGAGACACCGTTTTTTCCAAATTTATTTTAAACACTGTTCCTGAACATTATTACCCTGCAACGTTCATGCTCTGCACATTTTATGGAGAACAGCTTGTTTTCTGTTGCTTTTGTAAGCTCTCGCTTTGGTAAGATGGTTCACTGCTCCTTAGAAAAATTAACTATGGTTTTATGATCGATTACGGTTTGTATTAGCTTAGTTTTCCGACAAATATCACGATTAATGGTGGATATTAACATCGTATCTATAATGTGTAAGAAAATTCCAAAAAACATACCACTCTGAAACATCCTGTGAAATCCGTGCTTGCAAAGTCTGTGCATGAAATCCGTTCTGGATGCTGCTCTTGTTCGTAAACATTGTCAGGGTCTGAATCGGGCTCGAATTGGTTTGAAATAACCTTAATATTTACATTAGGACATTAGGGACTTTAAGCAACAGCTGCTGATGGAACGGCAACGGCAGCCAGAAGTAAACGGGTAACTGCCGTAGCTAAAGAACACAAAAATCACTAAGCAACAGTAAATTTGCTTTAGGACGGCGTAGGGGATAATTTAATCATCTGACAAAATACAAAAAAAGAAACTGATTTTAAAAAGCAAGAGAAGGGTTGCTTTTGGCATTTAATGATATACAGAAACAATTACAATGCCACATAACCTAAAACATAACATTAACTTTCTTAATCTGTCACGTAGTAACGACTACGGCAAATCAGCTGTTCTCCGTAGTAGACGGTTACAGTAAAACTTCGCGAAGTAGCAGTTAAAGTCGTGCATGCGCAATAGAACGCCAGAATGCCAGAATGCCGTTGCCGTTCCACCAGAGGCTGATGCTTAATGTCCCTATTTCCCAAACACGCGCTAAGGCTGTCAATAACAACCCACTGGGCCAGCTAACCAATCACAGCACATTTCACAGCGGCATGTTCGAGCCAGACTGGGGAGAGAGGCTGTAATAATGTAAAATATGTGAAAAATAATGAATTTTTTTAACAATCAAGCATGAAACATTCTAGTACACCCCAAAAACAAAATCAAGACTTTGTAAAAGGGCATAATAGGACCCCTTTAAAAGATGACAATTGATAGCTGTGCAGATATCCTGCACACCCTAAAAAAATATTATAAAACACAAATATGACATAACATTTTTCTGTTAAATTCTGATTAGTAAAACCTGCAGCATGCACAAACAAGATTATTTTTTTCACTGCAATGCATTACAGAGAATCATAGAGATGTGTATTTTTTTCTGAAACGTTGCCCAGTGAAGAGCATGTGGTAGGCTGAAATGTTGGCCAGACTGATACATGTGCTGAATAAGGCCATTTGAAAATAATTCACTGACCAAAAAAAAACTTTTCAAAAGTGTTAGTTCACCATCACCCGTGTGCCAAAAAGTTCCAAAATTAACCACCAGCCTTGTCAATGTTTCTTAAACTACACTCTAAAAAGAATCTGTGAAATGTATGGTTAAAAAACAGCACCTGTGGTTGCCAGTTAAAATATACAGTGGCAACATCAGATGTCAGCCAAAGTTTTTGGATTGAAATTATTTTACAGCAAACATTATATTTCATTAACTGATATAATGTTAATAAACCAAAGTACTCAAATCTGTGTGGTACCTTTATAATACTGACAAACCATCATAAATACGCAGGTGGTAAAAATAAAGCCACATGATAAATGAAACCATTGAATTGTGGAGTTACAGGGAACTCTGATTAGATCTATTACAGTTTTTCACTGTATAAGTAAGGCAATTAACAGGATTTTACCATAGCAATTCAGTCTTTTACTGTTAAAATTATGATAATTTATGTTTCCAAAATAGTTTATTCTAAGCCAACAATGTATAAAATAATATGTTTGTGTCAGCAAATAGAGCATGGCCAGTCTTTCACCCTGGGCTCTCAATATCAGTATTGGCCATTGAGAACCAGTCAACCACTTATAAAGCACACCAAAGCCTGAGGGCAACATTACTAAGGCTCATGTGCAGGATATAACATTTGAATCTTGCTTGCTATACCATGCAAACTGTATATTTGAGTCAGTGAGAAAACAGGATAATATGTGCTGTGACATATGGAACATATGGTGAGCCCCAGGAGCAGTTGTTGCTTTGCTGAACAAGACCTGAAAGGAGCTTTGTAAGATATGAAATTCTCCTCAGTTTTATCAAACTCAGCCAAGCCCAAAGGGTAAACTGCATTCTGACTCCTGAGACAATATTAAACTTGGAGTGAAGCGTTCATCTGTTTGAAATGCACTGAAATGGTTTTAAAACTGTATCCAATTTCTAGAAGCCATCTCCAAGACACCAAAGAGCTCAATTTATTGATTTCGTTGCACTAAGCTCTGTGCCAGAGGCCAAATGCAAACGCAAGGATCAAACTGCTGCTACAACAAAACTGAGTGATTTGCCACAGGATTATCAAACTTGGCAGGCTGAAAGTTTTGTAGTTTTAACATCACAAAATCATTGGGATACCAATAACCAACTAGTTAAACTCAAAGGACATGAAACAGGAAAGTCAAAGTAACTAATTAGTGCACAAAACAAACAATAAACCACATAATCGTATTCATATAACTACAAAATCATGCTATTCTAATTTCTAGACCAGGGGGTTTCAATCTTTAGATGCAGCAGAACCCATATGATTATCCTTGTGCAAGGGACACCAATGCTAAACCTTTAAACGCAGCTTTAACTTTTCGTGTATAGAGAAAGACCCCATTTTTACTGTAAATGTGTTTATTAAAATATTAATCTGTGGAAAATATTAACATTTTTTTCCTGCTCATTATAGTACTGTACTGTTAAATGTATTACTTGTTTAAATCAATTAATTTCAATCAACTGATATTGTTTATTGTAATATTTGTAAATGTGTTTACTTAGTTAATTTATATAGTTTAATTTAATTTAAAATATATAGATATATAAATGTGTATCTTTCATACAGCGCTAGTCATATTCTAGTCAGATGGATCAGAATATGTGTCACTGGAGTACATCATAATCTGGTGAGGATTGACACTAATCATCAGATTACATATCTCACCTCATGTACATCTAACTCAAAAATAACCACAGCATTTATTTATTTACATTAAATAGACTTTTAGAAAAAACAGTTGATGAGGCTAATCAATCCATGCCATAATATAACGTCAACATGTTAGCTATAGACTGCTTGTGAGTGAGACCACTATATTTAGTCATTAAAGATAAATGACAGTGAATTATGTACTGATCTACCTTAAGAATAATTACTAATAAAGTTAAATACTTGTATAGTTAGCTACAGCTAACGTGCCTAGCCGAACTGTTAGCCACTTTGTTGTGATTTCTCACCAACTGGTTTAAATGATTTAACATTGGTATAGGTTTAAATCTACTAAAACTAAGAATCACAATGATCAGACTGACAACGCTCAAACTAGTTAGTTCAGGTGGTAGAAGTTAAGTTAACTCACCTGGCCGGAGTGGTCAAAGCCAAAGTAGCTCTCGGTTAGCTACTGCTGTAATATCCCAAAATAACCGCAATAGTATCAAAATTCCAGTTCAGGATTTCCTCGGAAAGGTTTAATAGTGTTCGGAAAAACAAAATGCTGAGGATTAGGCCATTTTTCAGTTAGTGTCTCATCTACGACACTGACACACAACAAGCCCTAGCATGGCTGTAATGGATCGGGCCGGTGACGATGTATGTGCGGTTGATAGGCAACCCACGAACTGTTTCCCAGCTGGGGCGTCGTCCATGTTCGGGTCTTTTCGGATTATTTCGGTCACATTCGACTCCGCTTCGAATTCTGTTGCTTACGTTCGGTTGGTTTTCGTTTTTAGTCGGATTTGCTCGGAATCGTTCGGTCACATTCGTTCTTTTTAAATGGCGTTGTCACCTGGTGGCAGCTGTCACCTGGTTGTTACGCACAAAATATACCACAAAAAAAAAATGTTTGGAATTTATTGCTAAAGTTATAGATACTGAAGGAAACGTCTCTTTCAACACGTATTCAATGGACTTTTTTCAATTCAAGATTAACTTCTGATTATGTTTACATACAACATTGCTAAAGCATTAACCACAAAACAAGTAATGACAAGAAAAATGAAAGTACAACAATAAATAACAATAAAATAGGATTAAAATCTTTTAAAAAGGCTCTTAAAGGAATAGTTCACCAAAAAAATATAAAAATGTTGTCATTACTCATTCACCCTCAAATTGTTCCAAACCTGTATGAGTTCCTTCTGTTAAACACAAAATAAGATATTTTGAAGAATGTTGGTAACCAGACATTTGCTGGTTCCCATTGACTTCCATTGTAGGAAAAAAATACTATGGAAGTCAATGGGTGCTGTCGACTGTCTGCTTACCAACAATCTTCAAAATATCTTCTTTTGTGTTCAACAGAAGAAAGAAACTCATACAGGTTTGGAACAACTTGAGGGTGAGTAAATTATGACAACATTTTTGAACTATCCCTTTAATAAACAATATGTATGAATAAAGTTGTTATACTTTCTACAAAAGGGCATGCACTGCCATCTAGTGGCTGGCTATGTAAACGTTTCAATCCTTTGGTCTTATTGCAGCAGGGCAGCTGTCGTATCTTGGCGTTTTCCGTCCTTTATGAATATTTCGTTTTTATTTAGATAATTTTGGTTTAATTTATAACACACAAAAGTGAACCAAACTTCACATTAGCTTACATGTAGCCTGATGTTTTGAAATGCACCATCACCGGGCGGCTGCACATAAACAAATGACCACCGTTGTTGGATAGGGGGATTTTACAGTACACATTTCTATTACTACAGACTCAAACGTTTTGCATGGCACATACTTTAAAGGATCCCTTGGGAAATGTACACCATTGTGGAGCTCAAAGGAGTCAAGTGTGGATATCGCTGTGGCTACTGTAGGAATGAAGGAGGTAAAGCTTCATACGGTAAGTGAAGTTTGCATGGTTTTGGATAAGGGAAGGCTACATAAACACGGATAAAGTATTTTCACAAAACAAACAGATTATTACAACACACAATAACCTTCAAACTTTCGTGTACAGTACAAATTGTTGTTGTTTTTTGTGGAAATGAACAAAGCAAGTTGCACCATTTTGTAAGGTAAACAGCTTTCAAACCGATAGCTTTTTATTAATAAATATTTTATTGCTTCCTTCCTTGCCTGTAGGGCTTTTATACCACTACAGAAAATGTGCGGTGAATCTGTGCTGTGCTTCCAGGTCAAAAAGCGCTCGAATGCTACTATGGTGAATGTTTTGTTCCCCTTTGACGTTGTTTGCTTATGGCAAGCCGTCTTAACCTTCATTCATTCCCAGGATATTCTTGATATCAACAATTGAATTTCCACTACTAAACATGTGAATTATTGATGTCAACAAAGACATCATCACTCGCAGAAATACGAATTCTTGATATTAAGAATACATTTCAACTAGTAAAAACTGTCATTCTTGATATCTGTTTTTGTATTTCACTAGTTTAATGTCACCATAGGCTGCCATTCAAATTCTATTGTTGATATCATTGATTTCTTACTAGTTGAAATTCCACATAGGCTATCAGAAATACAATTCTTACTAGTAAAAATTATAATTTTATATAGCCTATCAATACTTACTTTGTTACCTGTGCAAATGTCTGTTCTTGATATCAACGATTGAATTTGAATGGCAGCCTATGGTGATATTTAACTAGATAAAATAGCCTACAATTACAGATATCAAGAATTATAGTTTTTTTGTGAAATTTAATTCTCGATATCAAGAATTTGTATTTCTGCGAGTGATGATGTCATTGTTGATATGATATCAAGAATTCACATTTTTACTAGTGGTAAATTTTTTTTTTTAATTCCTGATATAACAAAATGCCATTGTTACTGGTAGAAATATAATCCCGGATATCAAGAATTAGCTTGTTAACTAGTGAAAATTGAATTGTTGCTATTCATATCCTGGGAATGAATAAAAGTGAAAACGGCTTGCCATAGTTTGCTTGCCTTTTTGGGACGTCCAGTCACGTAACGTAACCTCATTCATATGAATAATTGCTCACCTACTAACGGCGGGTTTTCAGAAAATCAGACCAATCAGACAGCGCGCTGGATGTACGTCATGCAGCGTAATTAATATTCATGAACTTGTCCTTACCAATAGTAGGGTTCGTTAATCGTACCTGGGCGAGCGTGGAAATGGCAGCGGGTGGATCTTACAGTATAGTGGAGTATTTTGGGGGAGATGACGGCTATCGCTGCGGTTACTGTAAACATGAAAATGGCAATTTCTCAAACGGTGAGTGGGCATTAATCTGTTACTAATGATTTGTGGTCAATATATCAGCGAATCGACAGAACGTTTGAGGGAAGCCGGGTTTGACTCTGTTTTGACTAGCGATGACTGTTTCGACAAGCGATGACTGTTTCATGAACTGATTAGCATGGTTTGTCAAATGTTTAAACGCTTTATTAATATTATAGTATTAAGTATATAGTTCCAAATGAGTTGCTTCATTGTCAAGTCAATTATAAACTGTAAGATGGTCTCATAATCTTCGTTTGTGGTGGATAGTAACTTAAAGACCTTCAGCTGTTCTCTGCCATTGACATGTCAGTTTTAAAGTGTATTTTTGAAAACAGAGAAGATAGAAATCATTTCCTGATGTGAGGGAATAGCAGAGGCCTGTTCATCTTTATCCACCCCTGTCTGGACCTTAAAGTGATTTACTCCTATGTGCCATTCTTGTTTTTGCAATAAGTTTTACAGTTCAGATCTTTACAAAAAGAGTGTCCTGGATTCTAACTGTTTATTCATCGTATAATAACGTGAAGTCTAATAAATAAAGTGTCTATGTTGTGTAATCTAGGCAGTCAGATACTGGGTCACTGAGTTTATAAAATAATACATTTACTCTACTATTTAGGCTATTGTTTGGCAGGGGGTTTCAGTTTTAGATGTCACAGGTCATATATGAAATACATCTATATATTTTCTAGTATAAAGACCCAGTTTATTCTGTGAAAAATATAAAAAATATGAATGAAATTTTATTTTACTTTTTGCACTTAGAACTTCTAGCACTTTATTTTATTACAGTCAGCTAGAGATAGAAGTCTGCTCTCAATTTTAGAAAATGTATCATAGTTTTTATAGTTCATGGTTCCCATCATTCTGGAAAATGGCCCAGGGAATTGTCAAAGACTTATGGCCAATGGTTTATTATATTTACTGCATGATCTGACAGTTTTTTTTGTACTACAGCCACCAGAGAATTCACATCGAAATGCTTTTTGATTTACCTTTATGATGATGATGATGTTGACAAATGTTGTTAAAAGTGGTGACGCAAGCAGATCAACAAGGATTGTGAGGAAGCTGTGTTGTAATAAAGATAAAGATGTGGTGCTAAAATTAAAGGGATAGTTCACTTTGAAATAAATTTTTGGTATGTTTTAGCTTACCTCAAGGGCATCCAAGATGTAGGTGTCTTTGTTTCCGCAGAAGTTTCAATTTTGATATTTTTAGGTCAAACCGTTCTTGTCTGTCAGTCATATAATGCAGGTCTATGGTCACCACCTCAAAGAGCATGCACAGAGAAGTCCAAATTAAACATGATTTAATGACTCGTAAATGTAAGTACACATTGATGGCCTAAGACACAAAACGTGCGGTTTGTGTGAGAAAACGAACAGTATTTACCATTTACCTTGTAACCACAGACCGAAGCGCCCGCGCCCTCAGATCACTTGAACGTGGCTGTGTTTACAAGTGGTAAAAACGATATAAATACTGTTCGTTTTCTCACACAAACCGCTTGTTTTGTGTCTTAGGCCATCAATGTGTACTTACATTTACGAGTCATTAAATCATGTTTAATTTGGACTTCTCTGTGCATGCTCTTTGAGGTGGTGACCATAGACCTGCATTATATGACTGACAGACAAGAACGGTTTGACCTAAAAATATCAAAATTGAAACTACTGCGGAAACAAAGACACCTACATCTTGGATGCCCTTGAGGTAAGCTAAAACATATCAAAAATTAATTTCAAAGTGAACTATCCCTTTAATCTGATCCTAATCTGCTCTATGCATAATGTGGAAGCCATTATGATGGGAATGTTCAGAGACATTTATTTACTTTCATTTAGCAGATATTATCCTAAGCATCATGCTTTATTACCTAGGGCTAGGCATAATGGCGAATGCCTCAGTAACTCTTGATATCTCCGGGGGCTCCATGCATCTTTCACTGATTTATAGGCCCTCATCACATTTTTCAGTCTAGCCATGAGTTTAATTGATTGCTTTCACTTTCAAGTATTTGAAAGTGAAAGTAAGTCCCCGAACCTTTCAAAGTCAACATGAAATTCGGTTTGCAACACATTTTACTTTTATTATGTGATGCATTTCCTATTGAAACTGGATATTTAATGAGAAATAATGTTGGACAGGACTCTAATTTAGTAATTGCAAATTATTTTGGGAAAATTGGTTGTTACCAGAATGGAGCTGAGGCGTTGAAATATACAAGAGGGCTTGATGATGTCAGTTGAAAAGTAAAACAACTTTCAGAGCTGGAGAAAGTTAATATAAAACTATATAAAGATTAACTTTTTTTGAGTAATGTGCGTCATGTCCAGGATAATGCATTAAGAAAGTGACGGGTCAGTTTTGGTTTCATCTTGACTTTTCAGTTCCATTTTATCTCTTATTTGGAAGTTAAACTGCGCACAACTTTTCTTTGCAAAGTATACTTATCAATTAACATAAATATCAGCACTAGTACAAATCTAGGAACAGCGGGTGCTCCATGACTGAACTATCTAGAGGTGAATGACTTGTCATAAACTTTTGGCTTTAAAACTCTCTATATCAAATTTATGCAAAGAGATTGCATCATACCAGGCTAATGCTTAACCCAAAGGTGACATTATGTGCCATGACACAATGCCTGAACCCCTTGTGAGTGTTATAATAAGAAACACACGTTCGTAGTTTCCTTTTAATTGTTTTACTGTGTTGTGGTGCAGTCTGGGCCTGAACTGTTTTATTTTTATTTTTTTATGTGGACATCATGCATTGTGTTTGAAATGATAACTCGCGTTTTCAATCTTTTCAGGGCTTGTTACCTGCTTTTTTATCTGGCTCAAACCTAATCAGTGGCTATTGTGTTGTGTTCTGAAAGACCCGCCCCGTATGGGCTAGAATAATGCATAAGTCAGGTAAAAACACCTTTTGTCTCTGTTGTTGCGGTGATCTGACTGATGTCTTTCTGGACTGTGTCGTGTTCTGTGCTATTGAATCGTTTGTTTGTTTGTGCTCTGAAAACAATCGGCTTGGCCCGTAGACCTTAACAACGAGTGCCTGCTTTTCCTGGCCTGAATTCTGGAATTTTTTTAATTATAATTATTTTGTTCAATTTGCATTTACATTAGGGTTTTTTGAGCGATTTTTTTTCTTTTCTTTTTCCATTAGTGTTTTAACTTGAGCCAGCTCCAAAATCACTCCCAATTCCCAACATTAAAATTGATTCAAATCAAATCAAATCAACCCCTTAAGTGTCACCGGCCCACCGGTGGGTCCACAGCCATTACATATTTAAAACAGTAATATCCTATACTAAACCTAAACTTATCTTGACAAACTATATATCATTTAAAAGCTTACAAATTTTCAATGGGAAAACAAGATTTTCAAAAGAAATTACAGAGGAGCTGTAATTTATCAATTTGCAACAAGAATATTTTCATACTCCTAAGGCGTGTTCAGACCTTTATTTTGAAATGGCGATGAACATGAAAAATCATGAAAGAATGGTAGAAACATCAATTTGTTTTCATGCCAAGAGTTCAAAAGATAACATCCATTCAATTTTTTTTTTTTTTGAAAAAAAGGTCTGAAAATGTTTAAATATAAAGAAAAAATAATAGATTTACCATTTGTGATGTGGCAGCGAACTATAACGCACATACTTGTTCTTTTTATGTGTTACTTAGAGGTTGAATTCATATCAAAATCTGCCAAACTTCCCATACTACTTCTGAATAGGATGTCTACTTCATAGATTGTATGAAAATTGTGGAAATATATGGTTCTGATCACTCAAACCAGTTATGGAAATGGAGGGGCCCTTATATGGGCAGTAATGGGCTGGATCCCAAATGGCACACTTCATGTGGCCTTAAAGGGATACTCCACTTTTTTTGGAAATAGGCTCATTTTACAACTCCCCCAGAGTTAAACGGTTGAGTTTTACCGTTTTTGAATCCATTCAGCCGATCTCCGGTTCTGGCGGTACCACTTTTAGCATAGCTTAGCATACATCACAGGGCTCTACAGTGCGACCATTTTGCTCGCATATGTATGGCAAGCCGTTTTAACTTTTATTCATTTCCAGGATATGAATACTTGATATCAACAATTCAGTTTTCACTAGTTAAAATTATAATTATTGATATCAGGAATAATATTTCTACTAGTAACAATGGCAATTTTTGATATCAGGAATTACATTTTCACTAGTAACAATGATAATTCTTGACATCAACATTTACATTTTCACTAGTTAAAATGATAATTCTTGATATCAACAATTGAATTGCAACTAGTAAAAACTATAATTCTTGATATCTGTAATTGTATTTTCACTAGTGAAATGTCACCATAGGCTGCCATCCAAAATCAATTCTTGATATCAAGAATTTATTTCTTACTAGTTGGAATTCCAATTTCACATATCAGAAATACAATTCTTACTAGTAAAAACCTTTATTTTTGATATCAAAAATTAAATTGTCACTAGTTGAAATGTCTATTCTTGATATCAACAATTGAATTGCTACTAGTAACAATGTTCATTTTTGATATCAATAATTCAATTTTCACTAGTGACAATGTTAATTTCTGATATCATGAATGTGATTGTTACTAGTAAGAAAGCCATTTTAGATATCTGAAATAATATTGATATCAGAAATACATTTTCAGATATCAAAAATGAATTTTTTTACTAGTAGCAATTCAGTTGCTGACATCAAGAATAGACATTTAGACTAGTGACAATTTAATTATTGATATCAGGAATTCGCATTTTTACTAGTAACAATGTAATTATTGATATAAAAAATTATATTTCTACTAGTAAGAAATCAATTCTTGATATCAACAATTGATTTTGAATGGCAGCCTATGGTGACATTTCACTAGTGAAAATACAATTGTTGATATCAAGAATTGAATTGTTGATATCAAGAATTGAATTGTTGATATCAAGAATTGAATTGTTGATATCAACAATTCAATTGTTGATATCAAAAATTGAATTGTTGATATCAAAAAATGTAATTGTTGATATCAAAAATGTAATTGTTGATATCAACAATTCATATCCTGGAAATGAATAAAAGTTAAAACGGCTTGCCATACATATGCCCCTAAAAATCGATACGTGCGAACCGGAAAAATGATTTACGAGCACAATGTGCGGCGAGTAACTACAACCTACCATAATCGAAAACGAGACGATAACTAAATAAAAACTAGTTTTGAATGACAAAAACTATGACGAAAATCTATTGACATTTTCGTCAACGAATAAAAACTAGACAAATCTTAGATACAGACGATTTGGGAAGCGATCCAGTCAGAATACTTATGTCCTGCGTTTGTGGTAGATGCGCACATTTGTACTGTAACGTGCTGATCTACCCAGCGGCACACGGGTTGACATGCGCTGCATCTCATAAAACGTTAAAAAATGTAACCGTCTGGGAGAATGAGTAGAGCAGACATATAGATCTGAATAAGAGTGACGACGCAAAAAAAAAAAGAGCTCTATTCGGTCCAGGTTTTCTGTGCAAACACACCCGACCCGAAGCGTGCAGCCATGCACAGACACATTTAAAACGCGCGAGGACTGAATTAAGCGCTCTTTCGAGTCTGAATGGACAAATAAATTAAACAGTTGAGAGTGTATCGGATGTGCATCAGTGCCATTGGATCCGCATGTCATTGGACAGATCCGCTGTCTTAAAGTGGCCGTGGGTAATAAACCTAATGCGGTCTGTGTCATCAAGCAACAAAATAAAAATAAAATAGCCTTCACTGCTCGTTAATAGCTTTAATAAGGATTCATTATATTTAATTCATACAAATAAATATGTCTGCTGCTTGAAAGAATAAAGAATGATGTATGCAAGTTATAAAGAATGCATATATCATTAATTGAAAAGAAGACAATTCTACTTTAGGAAAAGTGGTTTTATTTAATTTTAAGATATTTTTAAGTCACAGTAGTTAAATCTGTATCTGTATTGCATGTTCAAACTTTAAAATCATTCATATTAACTGGTTAATAAATGTTTTCTCCGGAAGTATGTGGGTTTGGAAAATTTAGATAAATTCTAAATTAATGCATTACAATTGAACTAAACCCATTATATTTTAGTCATCTGAATTGTTTTAGTTTTAGTCGACGAAATACAATAAGATTTTAGTCGACTAAATCAGATACTAATACTAGTAAATACTAATACACTCATTTAAACTAGTTTGTCCTCCATGTTGTGGAAAGAGCCTCTGCAGTGGAAAGATGCAGATGTCCAGGTGTGCCAGTGTTCTCCAGCCTCCTCCTGAGAGCAACACGTTCCCCTTGTTCTGTTTTATAAAGTGATTGTGAAGTGTAATTTATACTTCCACATCAAATCGACGGTTTCACACCATAGTTGAACACAAAGAGAAGGAGCACACACGTAGTGTATATAATAAATAGTTTGTTAAACTCTGTTACTTGAAAAAATTTCACTGTGCTCCAAAATTTCTTTGTGTGCTCCTAAATTTTTTCATTTAGGAGCACATGTGCTCCCTGGGAAAAACCTTAGCGTAGAACCCTGCATCATTGAAGTGGACAAGACCATTAGCATTTCTCAAAAAAATAATGACCAAAGAGTTTCGATATTTTTCCTATTTAAAACTTGACTCTTCTATAGTTACATTACATCGTGCACTAAGACCGACGGAAAATGTGAGCAGCAGGCGTAATATGACGCAGCGGCTAAAAATAGTTCCGTTGTGTTGACGGAAGGTGGCCTATTTTCAGGCGCTGCGTCATATCATTACGCCTGCTGCTCTCATGGTACGGCAGTAAAATTTCTTGATTATTACGCAGGAATGAGAGTATAGTTCCTAGCCATATCAGCCTAGAAAATCCCAACTTTACATTTTCCGTCGGTCTTAGTGCACGATGTAACTACAGAAGAGTCAAGTTTTAAATAGGAAAAATATCGAAACTCTTTGGTCAATTTTTTTTTTTTAGAAATGCTAATGGTCTTGTCCACTTCAGTGATGTATGCTAAGCTATGCTAAAAGTGGTACCGCCAGAACCGGAGATCGGCTGAATGGATTCAAAAACGGTAAAACTCAACAGTTAAACTCTGGGGGAGTTGTAAAATGAGCCTATTTCCAAAAAAAGTGGAGTATCCCTTTAAATTGCGCGTGCTCGCCAAGTGTAACACTGAAGGGGTTAAAAGAAATGAGGGGGAAAAAAGACAAAGACTATAGTAATTAATTTCCCCACTTTTCTTATATGAATTAATCATGCTCTTAAAAAGGAAAGCGCTAGATAATGGAAAAGATTAGTATTGGCAAAAGTAATTGAAAAGCAAAAATTAAAAAACACAATACATATCAGATGATATCATACATTGTTATTGAAAGGTTTAGACTGTGTTATTGCTTAAAGTATTTATGGAGATTCTGAACATGAATTTTACTAGCTATAAATCAACTGATTGTACACTGACGTCTTCTTTGGCAGATTAAAGGAGCATTAGCACCCCCTTGTTTCAGTCCCAAAATCTACCAACAACCTAATCAGTCATTTCTGTTTTGAAATATTTTTTGTCAGCTTTGATTAAATACTATGTAAAATATGTTCTAGCCTATTTCACATATATCATCAGACATCCTGCCCTCTTGTTTTTTATGGTTTTAACATTTCACATTGAGAAATGTATATTGTTCACTCATTTTTATTTGTGGATATGTGTCATTGTTTAAATGTCTTGTCGGTATCGCGTGGTTTTAATCTTTGTTTTTAGTCCACAAGATTGGTGTTTATATTCTCCTCAGTGTTTATATTGATTGAATTATAGCTCAATCTAGATAAAGAGACATCTTAACCCCACAGCCAACAAAAACTGAAAGAATTCTCAAAGCTTTGAGGACAGATGTCCTATACGTGTCCCTGTGTGGGAGCTTAATTCTCCATGACGTCAAAGGAAACTTTTTCCCTTCCTGAACTGTGTGTCCATTTGAGGCTCACTGTGTCTCAGAACACATGGCTATAAGGATCAGATGCCCTCCTGTTCTCACGTTCATGCACGTCTTTATTTAAGGGGTTTAACTTGATAAGTTTGTGTTGTATATGATCTAAATATTATTGTTGTTCTCTCTCTAGGCATGTGGTCCCATACTATGACAGTGCAGGACTACCAAGATCTCATCGACAGAGGCTGGAGAAGGTCCTGATATCTCCTATTGTTTGACCTCTGAACTGTTCAATTCTAATTGTTGATTCATTAAATTGAGTGTTTCATAATTCAATCTTCTGACTCGACTTTAAACATGTTATGAATGAATAGGATTTCTTGCATAATGTCTTAGCAGGGAACACTTTTACACATTAACAGGATGCAGTAGTCTGGCCAGTTTAATGAGCTTAACACAGTGACAGATTCAGAGATCATACTCCCTGAGCTCACAGTCTCACCGACTTCTTTGAACAAGACAAATGGGTTTTCTTGAAGAAAATGGTTCAATTCAACATGAAACCACATTTTAATCTGGATATATTACTGGCAAGATAACTGTACAATCTCTGGATCACAAGTAGAGTCAGCAATATTCCAGGTTTAGAAAATCAAATCAAATATGGTAATTTATTTAAAATGTATGCTTATTTTAAGTAAATTATTATTTATTAAAATAACTGCATTTTAACCACTGTTTTATTATAATTGGTTTAATGAATAATCATTGGTTTATTGATGTATGGCTACATTGTATTTTATTATATTTAAATGTATCTTCCCTTTGTTCTTTTCCTGTTTTGTTTTTTTAGAAGTGGCAAATATGTTTACAAGCCAATTATGAATAAGACATGCTGCCCACAGTACACCATCAGGTAAAAGATTGCTTGTGTATAGGATACTTTGTGATAAATTAAAATGACTATCTTATAGTTCAATTTGACTATTGAGTGATCTTCTCAAATGTGTATATAGGGGCGGTCAGCCGGTCACACTACACGTTTCATTGCATTGACTTCCATTCTTACGCATGCAAATGCGTCAGACCGTAAAACTCAAAACTTTTGCATTTCACTGCGTCCAAAGGTTGGTGAACTCTGACTCTCGAATTCACATCACGTGAAAACGTGTGACCAGTAAAAAATCCATACGTCACAGAGTGACCTCTTGGCTGAATTAAAAGAACGATATTTTTCCAGTAAAGTTAAGTCGATTGTATATTTTTACATTTTTAATGTATTAAAATTTGTTTAATTCATGTTTATAAAGTCATATCACGACTATCGCAGTGTCTAAAAAAAGTCTAGTGTGACCGCGGCTTAATTTGCTGGAAACAAATTGTGTGTTTGGTCTTTCTTTATACATTAATATGTTGAATGAATGAGGCATTTATATAGAACTTTACTTGTTGTTGTACTTACTGTTTGGCAGGTGCCATGCCTTGAACTTCCATCCGTCGAAGACTCACAAAAAGACCTTGAAGAGAGTGAACAAGTTTCTCTCCAAAGGAGAGATGCCAGTAGAGCGGTGTGAAGAGGGACATGATGGTGAGCGAGCGAGCGAGTGCCACTTACTACATTATTTGGCTGCTGGTGGTGATCAGTCATGATCCACAACTTGGCATCATGAAGCTGGATGCGATGTTAGATGTTTATTTTATCTGTGTTTTGTTAAATAACTTGAAAACCTCTTCATCACATCCTAACATGAAAACATGAAGGGTGTGATGCCACAAATCCAAGAGACCAATTTAAACGCATCATTTACTTTTTAACTTGCGGACTGGCTCATAAATTATGGCCTATTGATTACATTCAGTATTTATATTTAGTTATGAATTTTCTCCGATATGGGGATTCTTTTTTGAAATGACATTATATGCACTATATTTGAAATGCATTTGAATATTTGAAATGCATTATATTTGTAATGAAACATGTTAATATATGAGAAATGCCACTTAAAGGGATAGTTCACTTTGGAATTAATTTTTGGTATGTTTTAGCTTACCTCAAGGGCATCCAAGATGTAGGTGTCTTTGTTTCCGCAGTAGTTTCAATTTTGATATTTTTAGGTCAAACCGTTCTTGTCTGTCAGTCATATAATGCAGGTCTATGGTCACCACCTCAAAGAGCATGCACAGAGAAGTCCAAATTAAACATGATTTAATGACTCGTAAATGTAAGTACACATTGATGGCCTAAGACACGAAACGAGCGGTTTGTGTGAGAAAACGAACCGTATTTATATAGTTTTTACCTCTTGTAAACATAGCTACGTCCAAGTGATCTGATGGCGCCTGATCTTCGGTCTTTTCCGGCAAGCCCCGGAAGTGATCTCTCGCGCGTGTACGTCACTCATTGTTTACACAGAACAGAGATTGTAGGTAAGACGGCTAATTACAATGGTACTAATTTGCGCTTATCCGGGATGTTTTAACTGTCGTAAAAGAAAACAGTTAAATTTTTTTTTAAAATAAAACAATTGTATGAGTGACGTACACGCGCGAGAGATCACTTCCGGCGCTTTCCGGCGCTTGCCGGAAAAGACCGAAGCGCCCGTGCCCTCAGATCATTTGGACGTGGCTGTGTTTACAAGAGGTAAAAACGATATAAATACGGTTCGTTTTCTCACACAAACCGCTCGTTTCGTGTCTTAGGCCATCAATGTGTACTTACATTTACGAGTCATTAAATCATGTTTAATTTGGACTTCTCTGTGCATGCTCTTTGAGGTGGTGACCATAGACCTGCATTATGTGACTGACAGACAAGAACGGTTTGACCTAAAAATATCAAAATTGAAACTACTGCGGAAACAAAGACACCTACATCTTGGATGCCCTTGAGGTAAGCTAAAACATACCAAAAATTAATTCCAAAGTAAACTATCCCTTTATTGAATTGTGAAGATTAACATTTCTGAGTGACACAAACGTTTAGAATATAAAATGGACAGTTTGAAATGATTCACAAGTTTAAATCAAAGATTCTATTAAAATGTCTCTTATTTTCACAGTGTTGTTTAATTTACATTGGCACAAAATCATATCTGAATATATATACCGACTCAATATATAGCCCAGTCAGAAGAGTTGCATCCCCATGGCTGTGTTTTCTACAGGTATAGCCTCTGTCTGTTTCTTATATCTTGTGGTCTGGTCTGATTTAATATGCCATCCCAGGTGTTTTAGAAGAAATCAAAAGTCGTCTAAAGCCCATCTCTTCCATACTTCAGAGGACAGTGGCTATAGCTGCAGGAAAAACCCAGTCGTTTTTGTCAGGTGCGCTTTGTGCTGTAGGCCAGACATTAACCAGACTCCCCTCCTGTCACCCAGGCATCATGTGTTATTATCCCTCCCATATTTCGCTAGTTTCTTCTCTTTTTGTCTTTTTCTACATGTTTTGTGTTTATTGTGCTCAATTTGTTTTGTGTGGTGTTGAGCATGACACATATTCTTAGTGTTTATGAACTAAAATGGTGTTTGCAAGTACAAGATCCATTTCATACCATTTAGACATAAATGTATAGCTTGTTTGAGGGTGTTTAATTGTACGTGTCATTAATTACTCACCCTCATCTCATTTCAAACCCGTAAGAGTTTCGTTCATCTTCATGTTTTTGATGAAATCTGAGAGCTTTCTGTCCCTCCATTGACCGCTACCCAACCACCACTTTCAAGCCCCAGAAAGGTAGTAAAAACATTATTAAAGTAACCCATGAGACTCCAGTAGTTTAATCTCAATTTTATGATGAATGAAGATAATGAATAAAAAGTCTTACGGGTTTGACTTTGAAACGACACGAGGATGAGTAATTAATGACAGAATTTTCATTTTTGGGTGAACTGTCCCTTTAATGCACCCATTCCCAATTGTGGTTTTCTTTTCAAATGATTTGGGCTTCGTTTCCCAAAAGCATTGTAAGCGTAAGTAGATCGTAGAGTCCTTTGGTGCCGTTGGTTTACAACTTAGGCTCACAATGCTTTTGGGAAACGTGGCCCTGCATAATTTGATAGTTCCAAGTAGAAGTGTGATTTGAGTGAATCCCTGTAGTAGACGGCATCTCATTATCCATGATGGTCATCTTAAATTTAAATGTGTTGATTCTTTAGGAGAGCCCATGAACTCTGTGGATGAAGAAGATGTGCGACCCCCTCCTGAAGATCCACTGAAAATAGACCACAGTGAAATACAAGACATCACCACCAGCCTAGACACTGAGTCCTCCAACTCAACGCCCAGAGAAGACGCAGCTCCTGCTTCAGCAGAGAAAACCTCAAATGTTACGGCCAAGCCAGGTCAGTCTCGACACTAATTTAAGTCTCAAATAACACAGTTGCAGTTCTTGGTTCTTTTCGTCCAAAGTAGCGATTGATTGATTGATTGTTTCAGTCGGCCCAGCAAGTGATTCAGGCTTATAAATCTTTTTGACCATTTCATTAAAAAGAATTGGTTCATTTATCCTTGAATTGGTCTTACACTGGTCTTGCTGAATGTTTGCTGTTGTGTGCAACCAGTGAGGGCTTTGCAGTAGAAAGTGTCTTTGTATAATGCCTTTCCAATCACATTTAGTTACTACTAAAACGATTCCTTTGGCCTTGTTGTTGTAGAATCAGTTGCAGTGCAGCACTGGATATATTGTACGAAAATTGAATTGCGTTGATTCAGAGACTTCAACAATTAAGGCAGTGGTTCTCAACCTTTTTGACTGCAGGCCCAATCACTTTTCCAGTTGTTTGTGGTTTACTGGATGTTTTCTTTTAAATATTTTTTTACTTACAATTTCTAAGTTATTTTTGGAACTTGGCATAACTAGTAAAATGCATATTCATTGTAAAATTGCTCATTGTTTTTCAATATTTTATGAATTCACATGACTTTTCCAGGTCTTGAATTCACACTTTTAAAATTAGGCTTCCACATATATCCACAACAAAAAAACAAAACAAAAACCAGCTGTTAACGGGGCTGATTTAAAATTAAATTGAAGTTGTTTTAGCTTATTTTAATGCTTTTGTCTTATCCTAAATCCTTTTAAGTAATTTTGAAGCCCTCTAGTGGGCACCGGCTCCCTGGTTGGGAACCACTGCATTAAGGGAACCTAATGTTATTAAAATCATCTGGGTCCAAAAATAAAACCAGTTCGGAATAAGAACCAGTTGTCAATGCCCCACTGGACTGGTAAGTAAGGATAAGTGTCTGATAAATTGCCTTGCCTCTAGAAACTTAGAATAGCAAAACAAGGGATTCCGCTGAGGATCAACAGAGGGCAGCATGTGTCCAGAAATAAATGTGGTGCTTCCCTTGGGATATCAACTTTTTTTACATCCTCTGTGTAAGATGATACTGCTAGTATTCCTGCAAGTGTCACTTCCTATGTTAAACAATTTCACCATCTTATCCTTAAAACAAAAATCAGCTTTATAACAAGTATCTACTTGCTTTCCTCCAAGGGTGAAGTGCTGTGAGCCAAAACGTATAATACATTCCCTGTAGACTTGAGGCACGTGGACCATACATCTTTGAATATGAATTTTAGACTAATTAAAAGTCCCATTCATCTACAAGCCCCTGGAATGAGCACCCCCACTGAACAGTCCGGAAACGGGAAGGATTTATAGAGGCTCCCAAAAGGAGGAGAGAAGTCTCGCTCTCTCCATCTCCAAACGGAAACCACCTGGTGACAAATTTATTGCTGCTTGCTTTATGACCATCTTTACGTCTGAGTTACGTCTGTTGTTAGCGTTGACACACACGGAGCTAAATGACTGATTCCTCACAGGAGGTTAATGCTCCGGTTATAAACAACAGAATCTGTAAATGGTCTCTCTGGATATTTGAGCTGAATGTAGTGAAGCGAGTACATGTGAACAGCCTTAGAACTTCACTCATAATTCATGCTAATGAGGAACTAAGAAAGGACAATTAAAACTAGATTTGTTGTGATCCAGTTTTTCTTCTTCAGGGTGGTTCTGAGCAGTTTCTAAGGTGTTAGACTAAATTTAAGACCAGGAATGTGTATTATGAAAGTACATTTTGATTTCATGCTGACTAAGTGGTTGAGCCTTGTGTGTGTTTTGGTGTTGACTGTGCCAGTAAAGGCTGGTCAAGGTAGTAAAAGTGTTTCTCTTTCCCACGCCCAACTGTTCTTCTTTCCATATGTTTTCCTTTCATAAAGGAGTGTGCCAGCTCTAATTCACCCAGCCCTGAGTCATCCCCGCACAGCAAATATACATTACACTGTCCCCTCAGGGAGTCTGCATAGTGTGTGTGTGTGTGTTTCTGCAGGAGTACTACATACATCTGAAGGAATGTGTCTTTGAGTTGCTGCTGCATGTACATGAGTGTGCGCAACTATATATGTGTGTCCATGAGTCCTCAAGGAAAGGCAGTTCTGGACTTTTTACGAACTGTTAAGTGCTAGAGAGGGAGAATGTGTCTTCCGCAGGAACGGATCTGTCAGAGTTTATCTCTCCCTTCATGCACACAACGGCCCGCTTGCAACAGCACGTGTTTATTGCTAAAGGTCTATCTGACCTCAGTGCAATCCGGTCAGTGTTTTTATTCAAACATGGTAATATTTAGTGTTATTTATTTATTTATCTTTAAAACTGTCTCAGCCAGAAGAAAATAAGCTCTCAGAGTTAGATCTTGGTTCCCCCTTAGGTTTGATCTTAAAGGAATGATCGATTATTTACGCACCATCATGTCGGTAAACCTATATGCATTTCTGGCCTCTGTGGAGCACAAAAGAAGATATTTTGAAAAGTGTGTGTGTTGTTTTTCCACACAGTGGATGCAAATATGTAAGGGTTAATGCCCGACGAGGTGTCCATTGTCAGGTTTTAATGGATGACGGCGAGGTGTGAACCGGCCGACGCGCAGCGGAGGTCCATTAAAACCTGACAATGGACACCTCGGAGGGCATTAACCCGCTTATACCATGGTCACTTGCCAAATAAAACATTTTTAAAACATTAGTTTATATTTTAATTAGGCTAAATCTAGTTTTTACAAATAATAACTTGCCTGACGGTTTATTTAGCAACCGGAGATATTTATAGTCCGCTCAGCTTGTAGAACCCTTCAGGTTCAAAAATGCTTATTTTTTTCATGAAACACAAAGGTAGGCATAGTTATTTTTTTATTACACATAAAACAATTAATCAAACAACAATCAAACAAAAAAAAACAACTAGTTCTGCGCTCCAGTGATTTGCGCTTATAGAGGGCAATAAATTAATCAGATCAAAGAGAGGGTCATTTGCCTACATGCTCCCGGTGTTATCTCTTTGTGTCGTTTCTCCGTTTTATTTAAATTTTTTCTTTCTTCAGCAGCATCCCAGTCGTCAAAGTTGTCATATTCTCCATAAATGTTAAAAGAAATAACGAAGTCGCTCATTGTTGTATTAGGCTATGTAATATCTAACTAACGTTAGATGTTTGTTTTGATAGAGCAAATTGTTAACAGATACTTTGACTGCCTGTTGCTATGGTTACTCACAGCTGTTGTAGGCAGCGCATTTATTTATTAATTTCGAACGGTAAACAGTCAGTTTCACCAGAACTACTTTACTAGGTGTCCTCTATCACTTTTTAACGGACACCCTGCAGCCAATCAGAATCGAGTATTCACCCAGACCATGGTATAAAATATGTTGTTTGGACCACAAACATTTTTCAAGATATCTTCTTTTGTGTTCCACAGAAGAAAGTAAGTCAAATACATAATGTCAGAATTCTTTGGGTGAACTATCCCTTTAAGAAAGTTTTCTTTGCTTTAGTTGCCTTGCTTGCTGGAGATTGTAAGTCATTGTCTTTTTTTATTTTTTGTAAAGCTGGTTTGGAATTGAATGTTTTTTTGTGTACTAATATTTTTAAGTGAGTTGAATTGCGTTTATATCATTAACATAACACTGTCGTAACTGGGCGGAAAGTGATAAAGTGACAAGTGATTAAAACTATCTCTTCTATGTTGATCCTAAGCAGCTGTTTTTTTTTTCAAACCAATTGTGAATTGTCCTGGGGCCATGAACCCCTATCAGCCATGTTGAGGGGTTTCTCGGTGTGTGTGCTTGAGTAGTGTGATGATGAATTCATATAATACTCTACTGTATTATAACAGAACAGCACCACACCGGCTCCTATCCGTTAAACAGTACAAGTAACAGAACGCAGGCTGCCTTCGACCTGGATCCGGCCCAGCATCTGCTCTAGCTCTCGCTCATGTTTACTCTGGTTTGGAAGAAAGCCATTCAACATCTCTATCATCCCTGTGCCGTATTTACAACCCTGTCCGGAAACATTCCCTCCTCTAAGTCAACTGGAGGTATTAACAGGAAAAGAGGGAAGAATGAATGTTAAGAAAGGGCTAATTGTCTCGATGACTCTGGCTCTTTGTCGGAGGAAGTCACAGAGCAGCGCTCGGAGGTCCTGGAGGAGGTCCCACGTCTCATGCGAAGCGTGTAAAGGCCAGATTTATTTGAGGAAAGTGTAAATAGTCTGTTATCAATGCGTTTTTTTAAAGCCGGTCCAAATTTGTGCTTTGTATTGCAAGTGTAACTAACAAGTTGTATCCGGTTAATGCTGCACTTCTAAAGATAACTTCTAAAGCTGTTTTTTGTAGCCTAAAAATTAAAGTGAATTATGGGTGAATCCCTTGAAACTTATCCAGAACATCTCCAGGTCATATTTCACCCCATTTTTGTTTGGGACTTTCTATATCAATCTATCGATCAAGAGAGAGGACAGGATTTTTGTTTTTCTATTGTGACATTATTTTAACGTCAATTAAGCTTATCGATCTATCTATATATTTATATCTATATCTCTATAGACAATTAAGCAAATTTTCCTGTCCTTTCTTAATAAAGGCAAAAAGCACAAAAAAATAACAAGAAAAAAATCATTCTAATATGCTGATTTGCTGCTCTAAAAACACTTCTTATTATTATAAATGGTGAAAAGATAAATAGAAAGTTCAAAAGAAAAGCATTTATTTGCCATAGAAATCTTTTGTAAGATTATTAATGTCTTCACTGTCACTTTTGATCGGTTTAATGCATCTTTACTGAATAAAAGTATTAATTTCTTCCAAAATAACTTACTTCATGACTTTCATTGTCTTGTGGCCTTGATGCAGCAATGTAACAAATCATAATGGTTTTATAAATAGGCATCCTTTTTTTATGCAGTATACAATTCCTTATTTTAATGAATTTTTATTTGATTTATACGCTCCTGACAGGTTTTGTGAGATGCGATATCTCTCTCTCTCTCTCTCTCTCTCTCTCTCTCTCTCTCTCTCTCTCTCTCTCTCTCTCTCTCTCTCTCTCTCTCTCTCTCTCTCTCTCTGTCTCTCTGTCTCTCTGTCTCTCTGTCTCTCTCTCTCTCTCTCTCTTTCTCTCCTCTTTCTCTCTCTCTGTCTCTCTGTCTCTCTCTGTCTCTGTCTCTCTCTCTCTCTGTCTCTCTCTCTCTCTCTCTCTCTCTCTCTCTCTCTCTCTCTCTCTCTCTCTCTCTCTCTGTCTCTCTGTCTCTCTCTCTCTCTGTCTCTCTGTCTCTCTGTCTCTCTCTCTCTCTCTTTCTCTCTCTCTGTCTCTCTGTCTCTCTGTCTCTCTGTCTCTCTCTCTCTCTCTCTCTCTCTCTCTCTCTCTCTCTCTCTCTCTCTCTCTCTCTCTCTCTCTCTCTCTCTCTCTCTCTCTCTCAGCGGGTTGAAAGGGTTTGATGGCAGGCTGACGCTCGTCGGCGGCTGGCACAGGGACAGGCAGGAAATGGCCCTGCTTTCCTTATTGCTCCAAACAGGATGTCGGCGTGTAAACTGTTGACATGGGATGCCGGGAGCACTCCGAGGGACTGGCGTCGATCCAGAGGGATTGAGGGGGGGCTGGAGAGAAAGAGAGGGAGTGAGCAGGTTATTGTACTGTATACACAGATATACACGGCCAAAGATTAATACACATTATCACACATAAACTGTTTTAGATTGCTCAGTCCAACAAATGGTTCTTGACCAGTAGGGCAGGATGTGAACCACTTCATTTTGCAATTACAAACACTTCTTGTGTCAAATATGTGCGTCTGTTTTTATAATTGCCAGTTAATCAGCGTAGAGTCACCTAGAGCCACGTCTAGAGACCAGAGTATCACAGAGACTTTGGCAAATGCGTTGTAATCCCCAGCCAATCATCCTAAAATCAAATGAGCCAGTTTTGCGCCAGCAAACACCTCTTAAATTATCCTTGGAAATGTAATTATAGCTAGAAATGCTTCAGAATATGAACAATTTTAGGTGGTTGACCGTTGTCAGAGATAGACTGCACTGCAAGTTAATGACTGGAGTGTGTGTCCGAGTGTTATCTTAGCATGACACCATTACTGTACACCATAAAGCTCACTCTCTAATCTTTTCTCAGTAGTAAATGGATGGCCGACTGCCAGGGCTGCTGCCGCACTCTCTGAAACAGTAACTGATGCAATGACCCTGTCCGTCCCCCCTTTCCTGACCAGCCCTGCCTGTCGTTCTCAATCTGGGATTACCACCTCCTTCAGTTTCCTTCAGGGAAAATGAACAACCATCTTGACACTTTCATTTAAACGTGGTCTGAACAATCCTTGCAAAAGCAGCGGGAGTCAACAAACAGAGCCTGTGTTGTTTTACAGCTGCAGTGATGTCATGATGTCAGAGGAGCGCAAATGACTTCCATCTAAACGGGAGAACTCGGCCCTGCGTTTACTAATGCAAACTCGACGACTCATTGGAGCGCACACATCGTGCTCGTAACTCGCTCAAAGGATCACACACTCCTACGGTTAGCGAACGTGCCCGCAAGGCGCTAATGGAAACATGCTCTCACACCCAGCAAAACGGCTCCAAATGTGGGATGTACTCAAGACCTGTTATTGATTATACCTCTCCTGTAGTCTTCGCCCCTCTACCAGATATCACCAGCAACATGCCGCACAGTTTATGTGGTAGTCCGTAAATGGATGCTTAGTTTTGTTTCATTGGGGATCTCGACCCTCAGGTTTTTAGACTCCTGCTGCTGGGTTTCCTCTGCTCTTTTTGGAGATGTCAAGTTTTCCACTGTGCAGAACTATTTATTTGACATATTTTAGACACAGGGTGTGCCTCTGCCTGTGGGCATACGTTCTTAAAAATTACACATGCCACATGTAGCTAACCAAGTCAACATGAAATCAAAATGGCCCCTGTTACTTCGCTGGTCTTAATGTGCACAATTCATGCACAAGTACACATTTTTCTTAATGTAACAAAAAAAGTTGAATAACACCAACTTGACACCATTCAATAAATGAATAATGGATGAAATCAGTTCACCTTTAAACACGTCACATTATGAAACTAAAATGCAAATGCAGTATCATTTTCATTTTAAAGGGGTCATGACATGGTTTATTTGATTATTCTTAAAATGTTCCTTGAGGTTCTCTTATAATGATAAGTTGCTCAAAATAAAGCAAAAAAACAAAACAAATATAGAAATGAGGAAAAACTGTTATTTTCAACCTTCATTCTAACCCTTTGTCTGAAACGATCAGTTTTTAAGGGTCGGCTCCTTTAAGGCTTATCAGAAAACGAGTTATGATTGGCTAACGTCATTGCGAAGGAAAGAGTATCAACGGTCACTCGCTATAGATTGGTGCAGGTATGACGTCAGAACCTGAGTCTAATTTGCCGCTGGTTTCTTCTAGATTTTCCTATGGGTTTTATATTGACTTTTATTTATTTATATGTCAAATAAAGCCTGTGGTAAACATAACTTGACTATGCATTGACATTGTATCCAGTGTAGACAGCGCAAGTGATTTATAATTGGTTCTATTTGCTTTTGACACGTTTGCATCCAGTGTTTGCAAGTGTCAGGATGTTTTATTGGTACAAAGACCTTTAATATGTCAAACAATCAAGGCAAATTTGATTTCTCATGTCATGACCTCTTTAACAAATGAACTTTTCCTTCAAATTATTTCGTTTTGAATCTTGTTAAAGGTGAACTAAGTAACTTTTTTACCTTAACCGAACAGCTTTGGAGTCATTGTAATGTTTATATTACTGATTACGTGTTGAATGGTGGTTGTCTCGACTCGCACCCCCCTGGTGCCTGTGAGCCGCAAAACCACCCTTGCAACTTTGGGCCGGCGGGACGCCTCAGTGTTAGGAAGTATCGTGTGATATCAGGTCTCGCGAGGTAACGAATTGCTTTACGGCAAAAAAACAGATCTGATAAAATTCTGATAAAATGAGCATCAAACAGAAATAACCCGGCGCCGTATACATGTGGTGTTCGAGGCGCACATACAATACAGACTGCCGACAGTTAAACAGGGCGCGCGCGCAGCTCTTAAAGGGGCCATACCTTATTTCCACTCGTTACAGCGTCCATCTTACTGAACAGGTACCGGTGTACAGGGGGAGGGGATCCGGCCGTGAGTGCGAGCCATCTCTGCGTGAGTGCTATTCACGACAGTACAAGTACTCCACAGCGACTCTAGGGGTCGCTGTTTGACAAAAACGGAATTCCTACTTAGTGCTGCTTTAATGCCAATATGATCTTGAGAGTTCAGGGTTTTTATCAGTGATGGGAGTCTGGTCAGTAGTGACAAATAATATATAGTATATATTAAAGTCATGTCTTACTTTGTAAAGCATCAATAATAAAAATAAATTCTATAAAATAAAGTTCCTTTGAATGTTCTCTCCATCAAATGATTTGGAGAGAAAAAAAATATGAAACGGGACAACTGTTTTCAACATTGATAGTAAATGTTTCTTGAGCAGCAAATCATCATATTAGAATGATTTCTGAAGGATCATGTGACACTGAAGACTGGAGTAATGATGCTGAAAATTCAATGCAATAATGCTTGGCCTGTCATTAAGACAGTTAATCAACGTGAAAATATCTTCAATCATGGTTGTCTTCTTAATTCTAGGTAAGGGAGCCGACCCCAACAGGCCTCTGTGTCGGAAAGCTAAGGACATTAGGAAAGAGAAACGACTTCAAAAAGAGCAACTGAAGCAGCAAGAACCGGTTTCTTCTTCTCCGAGTCCAGCCCCATCAAAATCTTCATCTAATCAGCCCAAATCATTGGAGGAATTCATTACAGAGTACTTACCCAATGACCCGCTGCACCGTTTAGAGGTAAGTCATGACCTTTGCTTATATGTAATACTTATTTGAGGTCAAGTAACTAAACTGGCCAAAGCAGGAGAAGATGCACCAATAAAAAGGGACCCGGCACCAATCTCAAAACTACAGCTATCTCACACAGCGGTTTCCAAGTATCCTGGGTAAATATTCCAGGCCATTCTCTTCTCAAACAATCCTCTCCTGCTTTTGCTGCGATTGCTTGGGTGAAGTCAGCATGGGTAAACAGCCAGTGTTTTTGCGCTCTAAGCAAGTCTGTATGAAAGGCCATCTCATACCCCAAACGTCATTGTCCCTGGAGACGGCACTGGGCCGATTCATCCCTCAATTAGCTTGTTGACTGGATTGATTTGATTGACTTCAATATGTCATTCAATTATCTTAAGTGGATAGCAGTCAATGTCACTGTCATCTGAACAAGGTTAGTGGTTCACTTTAGAAACAATACATGATAAAATCCTCTGCATTTGCAGACTCAAAGCATGCTGAACTCCTTTTTTTTTTTATCATTATGAACTTTCTCATGCAAACAAACAATTTGTGCATTTATTTATTCAACAATGTAATTTGCGTGTCAGACCCTTGTGTGGAAATATAAACCGTCAGAGTGTAGTTTGATGCTGGTTAAGCTCCGTCCTTGAAGTCTGTTTGTTACCACTTATCTCTCTGGCACATAATGAAAACGAATGCTATTAAAGCAGTGCGTGCAGTATCACACGTTTCCTTTCCAGACGTCACTTTATCGCTTGTGAAATAGGGCTCATTTCTGTAAATCTCAGTTGTGGGGTCGTTAAGCTCTCGGAGAAGGACCTCAGAGACACCCAGCCTAATGAGATGTTTACATACAACCAATCAGACGCGCGGCCGGGGAGTGCGTTTTATCATACACACTACAATCTAAGTGAAGCACTCATTGTTTGACAGGGAAAAGATTACTTTAGGAAGCCTTGGCACATTTTACTTCTAGCCTTACCTTGGGCTTTTGATGCTGAATTATGGGAATGTTATGGGTTCAATACATGTTGAAAGAAGTTTAGCCAAAAATTAAAAATGAAGAGCTCCTTTCTTTCTTCTGTGACATGTAAAAGGGGATGCAAGCAATATTTTTTTCCATACAATGAAAGTACAATGATTTTTAAATGTCAATCTCCAAAAAAAGACTAAATACAAGTACTTCAAATCACTTCAAATCTTCTGAAGTAATTTAAGTCAGTATTGACTGAAACTCCCCCTCTTTGCATCTACTTTCATAGTATGGAAAAAGACTGCATAGACATTTTGTCTAAAATTCTCTCCTTGTGTTTTGTGTAAAGAATAAAATACAACAAGGATGCATTAAATTGCATTTAGGCATTTATAATGTTACAAAAGTGTTTATCAAAATAAAATATGAAGCAGCAAAACTGTTTTCAACATTGATAATAATAATAAGAAATGTTTCTTGAGAGCAAATCAGCATATTAGAATGATTTCTGATGGATCATGTGACACTGGAGACTGGAGTAATGATGCTGAACAAATTCACCTTTGATCACAGGAATAAATTGTACTTAAAAATATTTCACAATATTACTGTTTTACCTGTGCATAAGGCACTTCTTAAAAAAAATCATACTGACCCCAAACTTAAATGGTAGTGAATATTTTAAACTATATATATTTTAAATTGGTATATTCCACTTACTCCTATTGTAATTGCTTGACTGTCGTCCTGATTTTTGATTTAGTTAAAAAAAAAAAAAAAGTCAAAAGATTTTCTGTTGAAATCATTATTGTTCCACAATTGCTTTCACTCTAGTTTAACTTGTACTGAACCCAGAAAGTTGCTTTTAAAAAGTATAGGTGTCTGTGTCTTCTTAAGATTAATTATGATTGAATATGGTTCTCCAAATCCCCCAACTACACCCGCAGAGGGCAGTAAAGGTACATTATAACCTTTCAAACTTTTCAAATCCCAGTTTGTGAAGCCATTGCTTCTGCCCTCTTTCACCTCCCATATAATTTGAAATCTCTGAGCTGTTTTGACAGCACTGCGCTCTCTTTGTCTTGGTTACTCCTTACACACTTAATCAAATATCCACATCTCTAGAGAATTGCCCAGCAGATTAAAAGACTCTACTTATGTTTATCTGAAACAAAAGTCGCAAATATCTTCATTAACTTGGCCAAGCAATAATAAGAGATATGCATTGAGGGCCAAATAAAATAAAACTGAATCTAAATCCCCCAGTCATGCTCTTCTGGGGAACTTGTGAACCATAAGCACCTCGTCCAATGAAAATGTCTCAGTGAGAGGTCCTTTAATTAGGAACAGCTTTGCCAGTCAATTAAATGTTTTTTTGGAGGATTGGATTTCGATTTGCCGCCTCAATTCTGAGGCCAGTTTGTCCTTGTGCAAACACTGATGATCCTGTTAGATGTCAAGCTCAGTTTTACTAATCAAACATAACATCTGATCCCACACAGTTAAACGTTTAAAGTCATGTTAGACTTTTACACCCTTATACAGCAAGTTGAATGAGGCTTAGTCTCACTTTGTCTTCAGACTGCCGCAGAATGACTGGTCTGTCATGTAATTTAATGATTGTGACCTGCGTTTTGTAAGTGCATATGCTTATTTGAATTATTCACCCTCATGTCGTTCCAATCCCGTATGTTTGGTATTATTAACCTGGTGTAACTCATCTCGACGTGCCAAATTTAAACCTGTATTGTACTACTTTAAATCACCCAATCATTTATATTTATAGCTACTGGTTGGATTCATTTATATAGCTACTTTTTAAAATGATTTTTCCTTTGAAATGTATATCATAAGCTAAAGTATTGGTCATTGTTATAGCTTTTCATCATTTCCTGTGGTTGCTAATGTGATAATGAAAGCCAGTTCAACTGTGCCTAGAAATTCAGGACGTTTCTTTTGTAACCGTATACAAGGAGACACTTTGAGACTGATTCACTGCAGGTCTGCATTTAATCATTAGTGCAGGAAGTCATGTGTTCTCGTCTTTGCATTACTCGGAGGACCAGGAAGTGGTTCTTTATCAATGAACAGGTTTCTGGACACAGTAACATTCTTCTAAAATCTGTTGAGAAAATAAACAACTAGCCTAACTGCATTATATGCACTTGATTTTTTTTAAATTATATTATTGGGTGAATCATATTTAATATTTTGGGTCATATATTATAATACGTTCACAATTTGTTCATGAAAAGATATGTTTTTCATTTTAATTTTAGGTTGAAATATGAACTGTTATGTTTTCAGGAGAGTCACCCTTTCATATAATCTATAATTTTTTCTGGCTGAACTTATGCTGAACATCACCCAAACAAACAAAGGCTGTAATATGATGAATATGTGTCTCTTTCATATTTCTTTGTTGTTGTTTTTTTTAACGTTTTCCTGTTTTTTTCATTTGTTGGGGCGTAAGCAGCAGTAAGAATAAGGACCACTGATTTGCCTGAGTCAATCTCATTCAAATTATATGTAATATGTTTGTCACATTTCTTTCAAATCACATAAATCGCTTTTTTTTTCTATGCAGCTGGATAATTTAATTTAGTTATGTCCATTATTTTCATATACATTTTTTTTAATCAGATTTCCATTACAGTAATAGTCTTTTTTTTTCAATTAATGCAAAATTATTATTATTTTTTTGATCTGCATACTTTAAATGCACTACTACTAATTTATTATTTTTATACAATGTTTTTTTGGAGTTACATATGAGATTTTGGTGTTAATTGTTTTCAACATAATGTCATAAAAATGGTCACAATGCTAAAATATATTAGCTTTATTTACTTTTATGCCAAATAGGTTTTCATATTTCTTTAATTTTGTTTAGTTTTTTTTCCTTTTTTCTGAATATGGGAACTGTTTCATGAGATTCACCCTTGTGCTATAAAGAGAAGAACAGCATGTACAACTTTTTCTAATTCTGTTTCCATTCCAAATCATAAGATGTTCCATGCTCACTGTTCTCTCACTGTACTATTACTTGGCTTGTTTCTTTGGAAAGAATCTGTAATTTTTCTGTTTAACCCTCTGATGCTCATCCTCATGTTGAAGGTGAGGCTAGTGCGCTCCAGCCCTCCCAGTCCACAGTTCAAAGCTTCGTTTGATGCCTCATACCAAGTGTACAAACTCTACCAGATGGCCATTCACAAGGACCCGCCTGACAAACCTACCGAGAGCCAGGTCAGGGGATCCAGAGCTGAGGGCCTTTCTCTTTCTAGCCATTGAGCACATTTGACATGGCCATGCTCCTACTTTGATCTCTAAACCAAATCATATTTTGAGGATTGTGACATCAGCTTACATTTGTGTATATAAGACATTCAACAAGAAAGGGGAACGCATCTGTGATGCATGGGGCGGAAAGGGTCCAAAATGGGTGAAAAGCATGAGGTAGAAAGCATGTTCACCTGGAAGCAAAAAAAAAATCACAGTGCACTGACTTTAATGAGCAGTGTTTTAAAACAGGAGTGAGGAGGAGCAAACTGAAAGCAAGCAGACAGGAAATTAGGGGAAGGCTAAATAAATTGATGTAAACCATGGAAACTCTGTGAAACCGTATGAATGTAATCCTGAAAAGAGGGCGAAAGAGAAATGGCAAGGAAATGAGGAAAACGCTCCTGTGTGGGCAGTGTTTCCACAGGTGCTCGTGTAAAACGAGGAGTTTGTTGCTGTTAAGATGTTTGGGTTCTTACACAGTTATTTTACCTCCTCTTTCCTCTTATTAAGCCAAACTAGGAAACAACTGCAATTTCAGATAAAACATTTTCTTGTAGGCAGTGAACCTTCATTGAATGTGCTTTTTCTCATGATGTGCCTGTGTAATTCTCATACAGCCTCAGTTTTTTCCCCATCAAAAATGTATTTAAAATTCTTGCTCTTATGACTATGTGGCATTTTACCACTGTTTATGTAAGGGAAGGAAGATGGGAATGAGATCTTAAACCTTCGTCCCTCACATGAGCACCACAGCCTAATGCGTCAAAACACATGAACCACAGCTCTGACCTTTCTACAATTTTCTTTTTGAAGTTTGAGTAATTTGTTGACTAATGTGAAAAATTACAATCCATTAACACAATTTCTGTCATCATCAGTGTTTCCTGTAGTAGCACCGAAGCTAAATCAACAACACAACGGCTTAACAGTTTCATATTTCATGACTGGGCACTGTGGAATGCATAATGAATTATGAATAAGATCGGTGCACATTGCTAGTTGCATGCTGTAACAAACATATGCTGTGATGTCTGTAATGAGTTGGTCAAACTGATTGTGAATCAGTTGGAGACATGTTTTTGCCATTCAAATACAAGCAGGATCTCAATTAGGATTGTGACTGGAACACACGTTTATAAAGTGCAACTAGAAAAACAGCTTTAAGTCAGTTATTTTACTATATTAGAGAACATATTGGAAGCTGCGTATGGGAATTTTAGTTTTGAGTTGGATTGAATTGGTGTTATACAGTACTTCAATCTTTGACTTTTCTAAACATATGTGCTTTTTGCTCTAGCTTATTGACATTTGTGTGTGTGTACATTGAAGGATGTCATGTTATTGATGATATGTTTACCTCAGACGGCTGATTTTGTGGGGCTCATCACATTGGAAGAGGTAGAACAAGCTTTTTATGTTTTGTCGAGGGATCATTACTTTCCCCCCAGCACCTTCAACATGAGGTGATAACCTGTAAGTCTTCAGGTTCATTGATAGTCGAGGGAATATGATTTTAGATCTTGAGCAGAGCTTCACGGCCTCAGTGCACAAGCCTCACCTTCAGCTCCTTCCCTTTCCCTACATTTACCCCTTAAACTCTGACTTTTAATCAATAATGCACATTCCCTTTCCTGTCTTACTCCACACTGAAACACAGAAAGTTACTCTGTTGCTTGAATTTATTTTTTATTGTAGGAATGTAGAACATGGCTTGCTGGCTTTTAAACCATAATTATTTTGTACACAATGGCTGATAACATGCCAGTATGATGATCTACATAATATATTTGCATGTGCTGTATATCTGTACATGCTTCAATGTGTTTATAATATAAACTGTTTAACAGATCCCAAACTGTTCTCTTCTCTAAAAATCTGGATCAAGAGAAGATTACACTGTTTGAATTTTCTAAACTATCATATCATAATTATGCCTTAATTACTTCTAATATCAGCCTGATCAGACCGATAATTAACCAATATTGGTATGGTGACAGGACATATTGTTCATCACTACAAAAATCACTACTTTCTTTTAATGGTTTGAAGCAATTCTCAAATGCTTAAAGTTAAAGCATTTCAATTGAAAAAGTAAAGTGTAAGACAGCTTGGGAATGCAGTTTTTTTTTTTTTTTTACAGTTTATTTTTGGGTTCATATTTATTTACTGTCTTTACTTAAGAAGATGGAATATCGATTCTAAGAATCTTCATGCAAATCAGTTTTTTGGGTCTCATTGTGATCAGCACAAATCACATTGAATTTGATAAGTTTATTTCCATTCTGAGCCACTTTCATATGTAAAAAGTGATGATGTGAACAGTCAGAATTCATGTGATTTATATTTTTAACGATTCAATTGCTTATTTAATTTACCGTTGGATCATAAAACAATCAGTCAGTCGAACTGTATGAAGTTTTAGTCTGAAATGTGCAAAAATACAGGAGCAGACCAAGATTTTCTACAAACTACACTCTTAAAAATAAAGCTTCCAAAAGGGTGTTTTTGCTGTGATGTCATTGAAGAACCATTTTTTTTTCCAGTTCCCAAAGAACCTTTAAGTGAACAGTTCTTAAAAGAGCATCTTTTCTTAGTGTGAAGAGCATGTGGAATGGAAAGGTTCTGTGGATGTTAAATGTTTTTCATGGAACCATAGATGCCAATAAACAACCTTTATTTTTAAGAATTAAATAAATAATTTTATTTGTTTAAATTGTGAGATATGTGTATGTCGGGATGAATATAAATAAGAATGGCCAGTTCAGACCAGTGCCTGATATAGGTCACATTTCAAAGGTCTCATGAACAGAAAGTTGTAATGGGTACTTTGGCTTGCAATGTGAATATGAACCCAAAAAACACTGCGAATGTGATGCATGTTGTTTAAATCATTTCATTGATATATTTGTATTAACCATTCCCCTATCAACACATTTTTATTACCCTCCTCTCTTTTCATTTCCCTCCAATCTCCCCATCCTCCTTTTTTTTTGTCCCATTTTTTTCATTTCCCATTACCCTTCCGTCTCTCTTATCCGCCTGTCTTCTCCTCCCTCTAATCATCCCTCCATCACTCTGAAGGTGAGGCTAGTGCCGGTCAGCTTTGAGGACCCGGACTTCCTGGCGTCGTACAAGCAGTCAGTGGCGCTGTACGCCCGCTACCAGATGACCGTTCATGGCGATGCTCCGTCCGAGTGCGGGGAGAGCGAGGTACAGACTTCAACATGGCCCGTTCACAACTGCATGAAACACACCGACTAACCTGAAGCTCTGCTCACTAACTCCCAAATATATGCACACTTCTCTCAAATGCATTAGCTTTTTGCTAGACCTACATAGAATCTGTGCCTGCAAACGTGCTGACTGAACTTCCCCTAGTGACAAAAAACCTATACCAAAATGTATTTAAAATACATTTATTTCGTACTAAAAAGTATACTACAAATCCATTAACATATTTACTGACATATCGCTTGAGACTTTATTGATAAATATTATATGTTGCGTTCATATTTCAGTCCAATCTTTTCAGCGTTCTCGGTCCACTTGTTTGGTGCACACCAGGGTTCGGATAGCAGCGTTCACACTTACTCAACCGCACTAACTGAGCAATCGCACCAGAATTAGCTTAAATCGAACCAAACCTGCCAAGTGTGAACTCGCCCTAAGAGTTTGGTTTGTAATGTGTCTATCTATATTCATTTGTGTTTGATGTTGTCAGTGAATAATATATTGTATGTTGAAAAGATTTAGTAAGAATATAGTAGGCTACTTGAAGAGCTATTTTACAGTGGCCTCCATTCGAAGACTTGAGCATTGTCTGGATTGGCCGATAATTCACCTATGTTTTGGTAGAGGGTGAATTAGGACTGGGTGAATCTGCTGAGATGTAAGCGGTTAAAGCTCTTCTATTGTGTCGTTTCAGTCTTAGACTGGGCCGGGCCGCATACACACACCCTACTCTGTGAAACACAGCCATAACTTAATTACATGTCATAAAAGAAGTACATTCGCAGTCTGGGAGTTTGTTGGGAATCTTTACATTATTAAAACACTGTCGGGAGGACAAAGGGAGGCCAAGATAAATAAAATGTTATATAAAGAGTGATTTTAAAAAAACTGAAAGTGTGGTTATCTTAAATGTAATAGAGTTTTGAGGGTTTTTGAGTATAAAGGAAAAGGGGTTGTTGTGTTAAGGATGAACCATATGTCTAAAGACACCAAGTCAAATACATTGTTGGTGATTTGGAGCTGCAAGAGTATCATGCAATTGCTAGTGACAAATCTAGATTTGTCCCATTGCAGTCACTGTAGCTTGATGATTGACAGGTAAATAGCTGATTGATATGTGGTTTGTGTACATTTTGTTTGTACCGGTTTTTTTTCTTTCTTTTTTCTAAGCCTTATGTTGTGTACTCTTCACAAATACACAATTGTTTAAAAGTTTGGGTTGTATTTACATAAATATTTTGTTAATGTTTTTACTGTTCCTCAATGTTTATACTGTAGCTTGATAACATATTGTATCTGAAAGAAACTCATCTTCTTGAAACCTCAAGGTTTGTTACCGCCACACACTTGTAAATTGCATTGTGTTGATTGTGCATTTATAGAAGCTCTTTCTGGCCTTAATCACGTGTTTGCTGTTAAGGCGAGTTGGTACACAGATGCTGAGGGTGAGCTGGATGTGGACCTACTTGATATTCCCTGTAACCTGAGAGAAGCCTTTGCCCCCCTTAGGCCTGGAAACTAGCCCGGCTCTGCCAACAGCAAATGAATTAACTCTCAGCAAAGGAATAAAGTCATCAGAGCCGTCAGTCTCCCAGATTCTTTCCTAGTGCCATAACAGAGCTCTATTTATAGTGCGGAAGGTGTGCGTATGTTTGCATTAGCACAGCCTCGTGAGCATTATAGCCGAGACATTGCACTCAGATATGAGACATTGGTCTATGTGTATAAATTGAGGTGGGGATTTCCTGAAGTCACTTGTCTCTCGGCCCATTCCCCCCATCCTTCCCTTTTTTTTTCTTCCTTCATACTTTACCTCCTCGTAGTCGTACCCTTTGGTGGTGGATCTGGCCCTGAAGAAAATGTCTTTGCAAAGCTACTTCAGCAAGATTAATTTCCCTTTCTGTGTGAAATTACATTGTATTTGTGATTTGATTTATGTGAACTTACAATATACCCTTGAAAAGTTTTGGTTTGGTAAAGTTTTTAGGTCTCTTCTGTTCACCAAGGCTGCATTTATTTGATCAAAAATACATTAAAAACTGTAATATTGTGAAATATTATTACAATTTAAAATAACTGCTTTCTATTGGAATATATAGTAAAATGTAATTTATTCTTGTGATCAATGCTGAATTTTCAGCATCATTACTCCAGTCTTCAGTGTCACATAATCCTTCAGAAATCACTCTAATATGATGATTTGCTCAAGAAACATTTCTTATTAATATCAATGTTGAAAACAGTTGTGTTGCTTCATATTTTTGGTAGTAACCATGATACATTTTTTTTTTTAGGATTCTTTGATAAATGGAAAGTTCAAAAGAAAAGCATATATATGAAATATAAATCTTTTGTGACATTATAAATCTCGTTACTGTCATTTTTGATCAGTTTAATGCATCCTTGCTGAATAAAAGTATTAATTTCTTTAATGAAACTTAATGACCCTGTACTTTTGAATGATATCTTAATGAATGAATTATTACATCACAGTCAGCTTGAGATGGTTAAAGTTATACTTTTGGATGCTAAAGTAAGTTCTCAAAATTTGTGGAGCAAGTTTGTGAGCTGATTATGCAGCAACTCATTTCCCTCAAAATTTGTGGAAATGCTGGACTTTATCATTGTGTTGCTTGGAAATCAGTATAAACACCCCTTTATTGTGAGTGGAAGACACCACACACACACACACACGCACACACACACAGGCAGGGATTTCTGTTGTTGTAGTGAGGTGTGACTGATCTCCTACATGTGGCACTGATTTTCAGCACAACAAATCCTGTAAAAACTGAATTTATTCCTAATGGCACACTGACTAATTATTTGGAGTACCTCCGGGGAGGAGAGGAGGAACACAAATCGATTCATACAGTATGTGTTATTCTTACTAATGCCATCATCCTGTAGGGTCTCAGACGTTCTATATTAATGCATGTTAATGTATGCATTTGAAGTTAAATGATGCATGCCATTTTCCAAAATTTGCAGTTTCTCTTCTTAAAACTCCCCATCACTTGAATAATTTCAATGTACAAGTATATTACCTGGTTATATCAGCTCTCTGACAGGCGTAGGTTGATCTAAACGGCAGATTTCATGGTCCATTAAGGACCAGTCCCTAACGTTCACTACGTTCTGCTTAATTTCAAATCCCTGCTGAGCCATTTCACTTCCTGCTTTTGGTCAGAGTTTGGTCAGAAGGCAATATTGGAACGTCTCAGAACAACATATTTGAAGAAGGGCTACAGAGAGAATAAAGCCATGGTGAAAGAAGCATGAACGCTTGTGTTTAACTTTTGTCATGTAAGATATGGGTAGTTGACAAATAAGAGGTTTTCCTTTCAACATCAAGACATTCAAGGAGGGGAAAAAAAAAGTAGAACAGAACTAGACTTTTTCCCACCAGGAATTGATTGAATTGTGAAAAGTGTCTAATATGGTTGGTGGTTGTAGGGGAGAGGTTGAGAAGTAAGAGAGCTTGGTGATGGAGCAAATTGATTTTCCCATTCTTTTCTTTTTCCTTTTGTGCATGTAAATATATACTGTATATGTAAATCTGTGCATCCTCATCCTATCCAGTCTAAGTTAATAACCAATCAGGGTGTCCACTGCCAGGCTCCAGGAGATCAGCAAGAAGACTAATGGAAATATGCATGGCTGCTTTGCCCGCATTGCCCTTTCTCATTGAGCTGTTACCCACGGACCCCCACTGTTGAGCTCCTGGCAGCACAGGAGAGAGTCTTTGCCAGGTTTTACCCCTGAGTGACTCACCACACCCCTCTCCCATATCCCATCTTTCTCACTTCCACTTTCCCAACAATACGTTTCTCTTACACAACTGCCGCAAATTGAGCCTTATTGCAAAAGAGACATTTGTTGATTAAAGTCGTACAGTTTTAAGTGTATATAACACCGAAACAGTTCTCTGAAAATTGGATGTTCCAGAACATTTAATGGAAACAAAAATCATAAATTGTTTGGTTGTATTTTTAGAGCCGTTGTTGATTTCAAACCCACATTCGCTGTTAATTCTCTAAACATTGCAGATGCAAAAATCACCATATGGAGTTTGTAACTGCTGACTAATTCTCTCCAACCCTCTCGCTGTCCAATAAGCAAAGCTGCTCACGGTTGTTTTGTAGCATTTTAAACCACAGGAGCCTGGTTTTGCCAGATTACAACCAGACTGGCTGTGTGTGTGTTTGTCTATATTAGGAGGGGATGAAATGTGCATGTGCATGTGTGTTAGTTCGTTATTGTCGTTTTTAGTTTGTATAAGCTGCCTCTCTCTCTCTCATTGGTTTATAATGTTTCACCATTATAGCAGGGTATATTAGTATCACAGGCCTGCGGATACGCAGTGACAACCAGCTAAAACAGCAAATGCACACATGCTATTGAGAAAAGTACAGATGATCGTGGACCGTTTAGTGGTTTCATGTATTTCTGTGGTTTGTAGATCTTTTATCTGATCAGTTTTGTCTCACACTTGCTATTTGTTAGTTGCTTTTAGGTGAACTCAGCTGACAATATAAGTATTTGAGGCATCAGGATTTTCATTACATTTACAGGGGGCAGCAACAACACAATTGAACGTCATTCATTTTCAATATCGATTTTAGATGGCATGAGAGACAGAGAGGTGACAAAGTTGAGCAAAGTTAACTTAATGCAAATAATGCAAGATGGAATTCACTTTTGTGGGCCCTGTGCATGGTTTTCATACGTGTCTTGTGTCTTAACACGTATTGTGTGTCTGTATGCAATGTTCTATTGTCCTTAAGTCCTGTGTGACCTAAACAAAGAAACCCGTAAGTCAGTCATCGATAAATAAACCAAGACCATGGCCACTTTAGCAAAGATAAAGTTGTTTAAAACCTCCTTAATAAACATCTTGCTTTTTCTCTCTTCACAATGCTTGCCAGTTACTACCTCCTCACTTTTGCCAAAACAAACTAATGACCGAACAGCTACTCGTTTTGAACTTAAGTAAACAATATTAAATGTCTTGCATCACTGTGATTACAAAAGTTGCTATTGTGTGTGTTGTTAAAGAGCCAAGTTTATTTAAACCCTCTTAAATAAAGAAGAATTAAAAACAGTTGAAAGTCCAATTGAAGATTTAAAGCATAGATTTGTTTGTTTGGGCATCGCGACTAGCCCAACACTGTGAAATGTTGTTTGCAGACATGTTGTCATTAATCTTTTCTCACTTTGCTATGCGCATGATTTTGTGTTATTTGGGATAATAGCTATTTAAGCCTAATCTGACATTAATGCACACCATAACATTGCCAGTGGGAAAACAAACTTGGTTTTTAAATGTGCAAAAATTCTTGTAATGTGAGCTATAAGTCTTAAAAGCTCAACAACCACAGGAGAGATATTTGAAAAGATGATACAAAGGCCATATCAAATGTGTTTAACTGTATACATGAGACTGCCTGGCAACTATAATGTTATTCTATGTATTTCATATTTTGTCATATAGTTGAATTTAAAGTAACACTGTTCTTTTCTACTTCTTTCCCCTCACAGTTTAAGAGGTTCCTCTGTGACTCTCCTTTAGAGGTAAGTCTTTTTTATATTTCAAATGTACAATAAGATGTGCCTCTCTTGCCAAAGTCTTGGCCAATTTAAAGGATTTCCCTTTGAAATTGCACAGGTCCAGTATAGTCTCAAAGCAGATGATTTAATCATAATCATCAGTAGTTCCATACGGTTCATTATCATACACTTCTGGTTTCTACTGAAAAACTCAAAGTGCACATATAGTTTCCATTGGCAGACATAAAAGTTGCTTAATAAGTATCTTTTTATACAAAATGTCTTCTTTTTTTCTTTTGATTTTGAGGGAAATTTAACTTGACAGGCATCATATTCATATAAAATAATTAGGGTAATACCACCTATGAGTAACAATGTTAATTTAGAGCCGCGGTGAGACAAAACAACATGTGGAAATGGCTCTCTGGGTAGCAGTGTAATTGTTGGGTTGTTTGTTTGTCAAGAAACGATGGAAAAAGTTAAATGTGTTGTACAGACCAGCCACATTTCTGTGCAGCATGGCATGGCCACACACACATGGGACGGGAACGCAAACAAAGAGTTGACTGTGATGTGAAATTGTCCCTGACAGATGATCATCTCTGTCGTGTCCAACTGCCATCATCAAGAGATCCCTTTGTGGTGTTTCCTTGATATTGAGGAGCAGAAGAGGCAAATGTTTTTTGATGTTTGGGATGTTAAATTGCAGTGAGGTTGAAAGACTTATTGACTTTGCGTTTCCATTCAGAAAAAAAATCATTCCTTTACAAAAAAGTGCTGTGGCATGGCACAAATATTCTTTCATTTCATGTAAATGGTAATTTTATATATATATATATATATATATATATATATATATATATATATATATATATATATATATATATATATATATATATATATATATATATATATATATATATATATATATGTGTGTATATATCAAAGTGTATGTTAGTTTTTAACCCTTGGTTTCCCCCCACCACCGCCTTTTAACCCTCCCTAACTTCACTCGTTATCTCATTACACCAGATTTATTAGGGATTTAGTCCTATTTTCTTAAAAAAAAAACTATGGTACTGATTTATTAACTGTGGTATTTATATAGTGTGGTTGTACCATGTCCAACAAAACAAGGTATTGCCATGGATGGAAACATGTGCACTCTGCTTCCCCCTTTGTGCTAATGAAGACTGTTACCATTTACAGGAAACATGCTTTTATCACCTCGTCAAGGCTGTTAGCCAGACGCTCCAACATCAGTGCTTTTGATGCCGTATATACTCACTCAAACTTTTTTTTAGTTTACATTCTTTTTCAAACTTCCATTTTTTATTTAGTTAGCAAAATATACAGTATCTTTCAGAAGTTTTAGGCAAAAGCTGAATTTTCAGCATCATCACTCCAGTCTTCAGTGTCACATGATCTTTCAGAAATTATTCTAATGCTTATTTGCGGCTCAAGTCTCTTACTGTCTTGAATGGTGTTGTGATTTTCACTTGTTTAGGTTGAGAAATGTCTCTGTAATTAGAGCACCAATGGTCAGGTGTGGCTTGTAACGGATTAAGATGGGTTAAATTATTGCATTTTATTGCTATAGTACTATATGAAGGACTCTTTTTTTCATGCACTGATAAACTAGGGATCTGCGTGCAGAAATCTTAAAGGGGCAATTGGCATCAGGTGCAGAACCGTGTGCGCTTGTGGCATATCCGTTCACTTAAAGATCCATGAACAATAACACTATTTGAACTTTGCCTGCAAAGTCAAAAAGTAAACAAACATAATTGAAGATTTGCTGTTAGCATGTATTAGGCACATTCACCTGGTTGTATTTATCTAGGTGTGTGTGTGTATTTGTTCACGTGTGTGTCACATGGCGTGCGTGGCAGCGTGTTTTGCGTCACTGACATGCCCTTCTCCTGATGCACGCCTGTGTTGCATTTGTATGTCTGTTTCTGTTTGGCTTTTTTAAATGTCTTTAATTGACCTGAAATGTCTGTCCTAAGGGGAAATGCTCGTTAACAGCGGTGTTGTGTAATTAGTCGTCACGGTTTTATAGACCTCAAACCCTGCCTTTGCACCATACCCCGGTTTTTCCACATGCATATACACACATACTTGGCATACACCACTTATGCCATCGTTTTCCTTTATTTTCTAATTCCAGTGACAAGCAATACCAATTAGTCTTTAACTGCCCATGTCTCATCACCTTAAAAGACCAGCATGACACACATCCTTATCTGAAGGATATGACACAATGAAATCATTAACACTTCCCCATAATGTAATCAGAGCTCCACATGCCTGCATATATCGCGTACAGGCATTGCATCTGCGTCGCAGAGAGAGCCGCGTGCCACGCCATGCCGTGAGTGCCGGCTCTGAGAGAAATGGCAGCCGTAATCGAGCGCTGCTGTTTCCACGTGGGGTTAAATGAGCCGTCGCTGAGCGCTGCGTCTAATGAGCGCTGTGTGTTTAGAGTGCCTGTGTGACTCGAATAACATTTGAGTCCTGCTGCGTTCCCAGTGCTTCTCTAGGGCCCACATTTGAGGAATAATTATTTGACATTTAATGCTCCGAGGGAATAATCTCTGTAGTCAATAAATGGAAAGTAATATAATATAATGGGGGTATTTTATAATTATAATGGGGGTATTGTACAATACTCAAGTCAGTTTTATTTGTATAGTGCTTTTTACAATGTACATTGTGAATATCTGTCTTACTTTATTATTACAGTCTGAATCCAGGAACGTTGGGCTGAATTCACCATATAATAGACCATATTCACAGCAGCACCATCTTTGATTTTTAACACTGAGGGATAGACATACATCTCTTCTTCAGTGGGTTGTACTGTTATTTAATGTGTTTTTGGATCGTTCTGCTGACGAAACGCTACAAAAATATCTTTCAGAGAAATTTCAGTAAACACAAAAACTCCAGATAATATGAGCTGTGGAAAATTAGAAGTGATCGAGTAGCTTTGTACAGCGGATGCCATTGAAACCGAAGTCGAAAATCGACATCGAAGTCTATCCCTCACATCCTCGCTTTCATACCTGTCATTGCACTGCTCTGAATAACATCCGTCCATCATCCATCCATCAATCCATCCATGAAATTAAACGATGGATGGATGGATGATCCATCCATCGTTTAATTTCATGCATAATTTGTGCAACTCCTCTCTCCTCTCCTCTCCTCTCCTCTCCTCTCCTCTCCTCTCCTCTCCTCTCCTCTCCTCTCCTCTCCTCTCCTCTCCTCTCCTCTCCTCTCCTCTCCTCTCCTCGTTTGTATGCATAGAAGAGCCATTGTATCGTTCATGAAAGAGGAATGCTAACTACCCCAGCCGCCTGACAAACAGCCTGTTGACGTCCCTTACGCCAACTGCAAACGTAGCACGCAACTACACGGCTGGAGAAAGCAGGCCAAACAAAGACTGACACAGGGCAGCATATGCTTGTGATTTGGGCCCCTGCCTTTATTGTTGGCTTCATCTCTGTTTTGCTTGCCTTTCACAGTGGCACTGACGCAGTCATTAGGCTGTCCGGCAAGGTGATCCTGGGGTCAAGGTGACGCCATTTCCCTCACTCGGGTCATGGCTGCATAAACATGCCTGATACTTTCACTGTGAAATACTTCTGTGGAGGCTGCGTTTCATTAAAACAGAGCGAAAACGCAATCTAGAACATACCGTCAGATCATTATGGATGAAAGATGGGCGGCTGTCAGGTGGTGCTGAGAGCTTAACGTTTCGTTTAGCGGCTCTCCGCTGCCAGAGGGCAAGTTAGCATGACATGGGTTGGATTTGAGTCCAGTCTGGTTCTGACAGAAACGAGGCGCAGCACATGTGGTGCCAAAAGCCAGGCTGAGAATGGGCTCTCAGTTTCACCGCAGGCCCTTAATCATCACCGCTAGCCGCGCTATGAAAGCACCTTCATCTCGAGCGGCTGTGTGTACTTAATACTGACAGCTAGTTTAAACCGCCAACCAACTGGACAAGCACGCTGAATGAAAATAAGTAAACTATACATATGGAATGTGGTCCTCGGCGGACAAAATGAGGGGTTTACTGTAACACTTCTCTAGGAAGTAGGGAGGGATGCTGTGAACCGTGCCAGTTTAGCGGTAGAGAAAAGATTATACTTTGAAAGATGCTAGATTTAAAAGGCACTGAATAGCACTTAAAAATAAAAAAAGGTTCATTTCACTAACTGATATAATGTTAATATTCCATCCTCCTAAAGTACTCAAATCTGTTTTGTGTCTGTATAATAAACTGATAACCACCATAATAATACAGGTGTTAAAATAGACACATGATGAATCACAAATAACCTTTCCACAAGCTGAGCTATATACTAAAATGTTCAGTTTAATTCAAGTTTATTTGTAGCTCTTTCACAACATATGCCTTTTCTGTGAAGCTGTTTTGAAACAAAGTATATAGAAGGTGCACACAGTGTCATGTACAGAAATACAAAACACCATCATGGAAACACACTTCATACTTAATGCAATAAACATTAATTAAACAATATAAGATGTAACATAAAACCTAAATGTACATAAAGGATAACAAAACCTTTATCAAGAAACCAAGAAATATAATTATTTAAATGAAATATCAAATGTAATGTCAAGCAGGGAATTGTGGGAATGTCAGTTTTTTATAATTTATAATATGACTGTTAATTTGTACTTCCAAAATCTGGACATTTAACAGTATTTTACTGTATAATTATATCCACCGGATGCAACGGAGAATATTTTTTCTTTTTCTGTGAATATGCAAGACTTCCGATTAATTTTGTAAGTATCAGTAAAATATCAAAATGCAGTAAATGGTAAAACTATTTGCGCTACAAACCAGTGTGTTTAAAATGATGACAATACATTAAAATAATATGAAAACAAATATCAGGTTGCAGTATCAGGTAGTATAACGGACTGTTTTTGTACAGGTAAAATAATTGGAAGCAAATGACACAGGAAAGTTACAAATAGCCACACCCGCTCTCACATTTAAAAAAAAAAGTGGATAAAATGTCCCGTTAGAGGCTGTTTTTCCACAGTATATAGTAAGGGACCTTGCCATTAACCAATTAAAAGGGTTTTACTGTAGCATTTTTACAGTCTTCTACTGTTAACATTACAAATATTTTTTACAAGTGTAGGTTTGCACATTGTGAGTAGCATATGTGATGTTTCTGTGTTGGTTTTAATTTGGAGGTGAGTGACCGTGGCGCAGCAGCGTCTAAAGCCTCTCGTACTGAACAGATTGTCCGAGCCGCTCCCCTGGTGTTGTGATAACGAGCCGCCTTCCTGCAGGGCTAACTGGACCCAGATGGGCCGCGGAGAGATCCCGTTACCCCCTCCCGCCGAGCCGTTTCAAGTCTCATTGGTGGACTAGGGTGAATAAAGCGCCCTTCTGGATAAGCCACTTGATTGAAAAAAGCCAGCGTGAAGGTTTGAGTGGGAAATACGATCTCGGGCAGGTAACGGTTCGGGGTTTTACAGCCGTCCGAAACAGCAGACGAATATTCAGAGACACAAGTGCGTTCATGTCACATGAAGGAATGTGGGCTTTTATCTTCAGACACAACAGTAGTTTTATTTATTTTGGGTGTGTGTATGGTTCCACTCACTGCCACCCCTGATTTACACACAGGGTAAAAACGGCTCCCCTGTTCCCTCCTGCACAGGCTTTCAGAGTGGAGATTGATTTTTGTTCATGCAAGGATTTTTATTAAATCGCCTCTCGTAGTTTCGCGTAGTTTGTGTGTGCCTGGCATTGACTTCTACTCCACAAACACACACACCTCCACTCTCAGTCCACATGTGGGATCTATTAGTGAGCTACTGTACACCCTGTGTTCCTTTGCAAGCACAGACTTTCAAATTGTTTGAGCATTGATTGACTGGTTTTTACACAGGATCTCACACAGGAAGTATTTCACAATGTTTTCAACAATTTTTAATTTATTTGCATGACACAACTAGTTTGAAGATTCGACTTTGTTAAAATTAGACATTTTTTTTATGCATTTTCCTAGTCTTATTCTGCACAATTCATCAGTACATACACAAAAACGTTTGTCATTTTCACCATCTAAACAAATCCTGATGCATAAAATCAAGTCCCATGTTTTTTTTCTAATGGATTATTCTGTTTCACTCTAAAGTATGCCACATGGGTAAAATGTAATGTTTTATGCTGACTAAAAAGCTTCTTTGGTAGGCCTCCCTTTTTAATGTGCCCTTTATTATATTTTATTTTATTATGGCGAAGTCAGACACTCAATTTGTCACAGAATTTCTTGTTCCTCACTCTAAATTCCCAGTAATTTCCTGTTACTCTTGTCCAAAGAAAAGAGGTAAAAGCTTAAAAAAGAATACATTTCATTGTATAATATTGAAATCTTTATAATAATGATATTCCCTGTCTTTCTCCCAGGCTGAGACCGCTCCTGATGGTCCTGATGTGGGCTATGGCTCGTTCCATCAGCAGTACTGGTTAGATGGCAGAATAGTAGCAGTGGGCGTTCTGGACATCCTTCCCTCCTGTGTGTCGTCCGTGTACCTCTACTACCACCCCGACTTCTCCTCGCTCTCATTGGGCACCTACTCTGCTCTCAGGTTAGTCTGTCTCTGTCTGACTGCCACTCATAAATTCTCACTAATCTTTGAGCGTTTTAGGCCGATAATGTTCAGACAGGTGTAAACATTTACTAATTAATAATTGGTCATTTATCTGACTTGAGTTGAAGTGTGAATCTGCTCGGACATCTAGCTTGAGCCACATCCTTTTAGTTACCAGCTTAAACCTTTAACCACTAGGCTACACTACCTCCCTACAAAAGTTTAACAGCATTAATGTTGCAGATTTCTTTCATAGAATTATTTTATCCTTAAAGACGAATAGCGCAGGAATGCATCCTGATCTGTCTCTTTTAGTGCAGAATCTTGTCTCTGAATGAGTTTCGGATGGTTTTGCTGGTAGAGTTTTAAATGCATCTTATTTTTTAAACAACCATACACACACCCACGGTTACAGGTCTATATTTCTTTGTCACACACATGTTTTCAAATATTTCACATGGGAGGCTCACCTGATTAGGTTACACTCAACAGGAGATGCCAGATGTGTGTGTGTGTTGTGTTGAGTTTTGAGTGTTTGGAGGCTTCGGGAGCCTCATTTCTCACCGAGAGAATAATAAAAAGAAGGCTACGGGAGAGAAAGCGTGAGGGAGACGTGGAGATTGTGCCCAGAGCAGCTGGTGTCAACCGCGGGGTCAGTGTCTTTGTGCTGTTGTGTGTCAGTGTGATTGAGTGAGACTGTCTGAGCGCAGGATGTGACACTGTTCAGTAATGTGTCTCCATGCTGCTCTGGACACTATAAATAATGATGAATGACCAGCAAAGATAAACAAAATGTGTTTCCTCTGAGTCGAAACGTGCTGAAAATTCATTTGCACTGTTAATTCTGTCGAAATCTTTGTGTGAATCTTAAGAAAATTTGTCCTTGGCATATTTTAACCCCTACATCATTTAAGTCAGAATATGTATAAATAAGAAATTATATTTGACAAAAATAAAGTTGATTCGATTTTATAAAGAATCAATTAGATGTTTTATTTTTAGTTTATTTCCCCCAAAATTCTTATTACGGTTATTAGTCTGGACATTTTATCATGGTTTATCTGTAATTAACATTAATATCAGTTAATGATATTCAGGGGGAAAAAATACAGTTTGAAGAATTTATGGTGAAAATATGCAAACACTTAATGGCCCTAAAAGTAGCCCCTTCATTTTAAGCGATATATATACATATATATATATATATACACTCACCGGCCACTTTATTAGGTACACCTGTCCAACTGCTCGTTAACACTTAATTTCTAAGCAGCCAATCACATGGCGGCAACTCAGTGCATTTAGGCATGTAGACATGGTCAAGACAATCTCCTGCAGTTCAAACCAAGCATCAGTATGGGGAAGAAAGTTGATTTGAGTGACTTTGAACGTGGCATGATTGTTGGTGCCAGAAGGGCTGGTCTGAGTATTTCAGAAACTGCTAATCTACTGGGATTTTCACGCACAACCATCTCTAGGGTTTACAGAGAATGGTCCGAAAAAGAAAAAACATCCAGTGAGCGGCAGTTCTGTGGGCGGAAATGCCTTGTTGATGCCAGAGGTCAGAGGAGAATGGCCAGACTGGTTCGAGCTGATAGAAGGGCAACAGTGACTGAAATAACCACTCGTTACAACCGAGGTATGCAGCAAAGCATTTGTGAAGCCACAACACGCACAACCTTGAGGCGGATGGGCTACAACAGCAGAAGACTCCACCGGGTACCACTCATCTCCACTACAAATAGGAAAAAGAGGCTACAATTTGCAAGAGCTCACCAAAATTGAACAGTTGAAGACTGGAAAAATGTTGCCTGGTCTGATGAGTCTCGATTTCTGTTGAGACATTCAGATGTTAGAGTCAGAATTTGGCGTAAACAGAATGAGAACATGGAACCATCATGCCTTGTTACCACTGTGCAGGCTGGTGGTGGTGGTGTAATGGTGTGGGGGATGTTTTCCTGGCACACTTTAGGCCCCTTAGTGCCAATTGGGCATCGTTTAAATGCCACGGCCTACCTGAGCATTGTTTCTGACCATGTCCATCCCTTTATGGCCACCATGTACCCATCCTCTGATGGCTACTTCCACCATGTCACAAAGCTCTAATCATTTCAAATTGGTTTCTTGAACATGACAATGAGTTCACTGTACTAAAATGGCCTCCACAGTCACCAGATCTCAACCCAATAGAGCATCTTTGGGATGTGGTGGAACGGGAGATTCGCATCATGGATGTGCAGCCGACAAATCTGCGGCAACTGTGTGATGCCATCATGTCAATATGGACCAAACTCCCTGAGGAATGCTTCCAGCACCTTGTTGAATCTATGCCACGAAGAATTGAGGCAGTTCTGAAGGCAAAAGGGGGTCCAACCCGTTACTAGCATGGGGTACCTAATAAAGTGGCCGGTGAGTGTATATATATATATATATATATATATATGTATATATGTGTGTGTATATATATATATATAAGTAATGTATCATTTTTTTCTTTCTTTTTTTCTGGGCTGAAATGTGTCCCAGGCACTTTTTGACAAATTTAAATCACCCTTCTAATCAGTATATATTTCTTGCTTTTTAGTAAAAAATACAATTAAAACATCCTTTAAAGAAGATAAATTTACATGAATACATTAGTTAAATTTTTTAAGAAACTTGTATATGTTGTATTGTTTCAATGACTGCTATTTTGTTTACATCTTCAATAATAGTTAGACATTGTGTTGTGTAGATTCAGGAAATATGTTCCACACATCTCCATGTGTGTGTGTGTGTGTGACATAAATATTAAGCAGACGTCTTGTCCGTGGTGAGCGCTGCTGCATAATTGGCTTGTGTGGGGGTGTCAGTCCGCTGAAGAGGAGATAATGGAGGCTTCAAACTGCTGCCAGTGCGAGCGGGTGGGGACTGGGGTTCAAATCGAGGAGGGGGAGGGGGGGGGGGGGGGGGGGGGGGGGGGGATTGGCCTTTCTTTATGTCCCTCTTTCTTCTGTCCCTCTTTCTTTCTCCATCTTTTTTGTGAATGGGTTCCACAGCCTCTTCTTATCCGTCTCTCATTCATGGAGAGCCAGGCTTTGTCACCAGGGGATGGGAACCCGGGAACCTGGCAGCGACCGCATGACCTTCCAGCACCTCGCTGTTTGTCGTCGCTCCTTCTCCCTTCTCTCTTTTCCTCTTTCATTTTCCACTACTTTTATTTTGCTTTGGCTTCTCACTCTTCCTCTCTTTTTCCTGCAAAAAAAACAAAAAACAAAAGATTTCTCCCCCTAATTTTTGAAAAGACAGAGAGTATAAGGTGTACAAAATGCAGAAGAAGAGAGAAGAAAGAGCAGGATTTATTTATGGAAAAGAGAAACATGTTTGTGCAGGGAATAAAGAGAGAACTGAAAAGAGAGAGAGAGAGAGCGAGAGCTCCTTGATTGCTCACAGGAGGAAGTATAAATCTCCTCTATTTTTCCTCCTGTTTTTATTTTCTCAGCTCCCTTTTGTTTTTCTCCTCCGCTTCCTCTTTTTCAGCACTTCCAGATACACATTCAAATGGCTGTTTATGAGGGAAACAGTTGATCTGGTCCGTATGCAGCAAATCAGTTGATGTTTTATCTACTTAAAAGGGTTAGTTCACCAAAAAATTTTTTATTCTGACATTAATTACTCACCCTCATGTTGTTCCAAACCCATAAGAACACAGACTGACACGGAAGAGAAGAAACTGTTGAATAAAGTTTCTATTTTTGTTTTGTTTTTGCCACAAAAAGTATTCTCGTTGCTTAATAACATTAAGGTTGAACCACTGTCGTCACATGGACCGATTTAATGATCTCTTTACTACCTTTCTGTGCCTTGAAAGTGGTAATAACGTTGCTGTCTATGGGGGGTCAGAAAGCTCTCAGATTTCATCAAACATATCTTAATTTGTGTTCTGAAAATGAACAAAGGTCTTACGGGTTTGGAACGACATGAGGGTGAGTAATTAATGACAGAATTCAAATGTTTGGGTGAACTATCCCTTTAAGCATCATATCCTAATGCTACACATTGTATAGTATAATTAAGGACTGTTAACAGAGTTATTAATCTTGTTTAAAAATCATGAATAAAATAGTTTTATTGTTAGTTCATTTGTTAAAAAGATTTAAATTTGAAGTGTCATATCTCTAAATATCTCTAAAATCCCTAAAATTACATACTGTTGCATAAATGGAAAGAAATCTGTCACACTACATAGACTCTGCAAGAGTGTCTTGTTTACCGGCCAATCTAAAAATGATTTTTTATCAAGTAAACAATTGATAATTGAACAGTGGATATTTGTAGCATTAAAACAGCATTATATTTTGAGCACCATGTTGAACGGAACCGGAAAACATGGTTACCTGTTTTGTAGCATAAACCATATGCCTGTAAAATATGATTTCTGCTCTCGTTCTCTCTGCAGGGAGATTGCCTTCACCAGGCAGTTGCAGCAGCAGTCGCCCAAACTCGCCTACTACTATCTGGGTTTCTACGTATACTCGTGTCCCAAGATGCGCTATAAGGTACGTCTCAACGTCATCAACCTTCATTTCTGTTCATCTTCTGTTTGGCCTGGTTAGTATCATCTAACCTTGCTGGAATAGCCGCTGATGTACTGAGATGTCATACATTTTTGCAATGAAAGAAGACACCACATAGACGGGTGGCAGTATAGAGTCCATCCAGCATAATGCACCTCTAACATGTGCATCTACCTAAATTGGTTGCATAAATCCTCTGGTACAATTCTATTGCAGGATCAGTTTTAGATCAGTTTTTCTACTTTGTTTCTCACTTTCAAAAACCTTTTCCCTTGACTGCACTTTGCTGAATCTTTAAACAAGATGCACCAAAAACAAGTAATTCTAGCAGGTGTGGCCGTACACTTTCTTAAGTATTTTATATGCGTGTATAGTCTCCATCACACTTTTAAGACGAGGCAGGCCACAGTGGTTGTGTAATCGACAGGGTGGCTTTTAGTTTTGGAGCTGAAGTAGACACCTGTTAAAGGTGTTAATCCTCTATCGTCCGCCAGCATCACACCTCTCCGCTCGGTCTGTTTCTCTCATTACTGCTCCCCAAAGACTCGTCCTGGAGCGATCGCAATGCCTCCGCCACAGGAAATATCTCTTCCCCGCTTCCTGTCAGATGGTACAGTAGATATTGGAAGATCAGTGTTATTTTAGTTTGATGTGTATACTATTATAGTATTTTTTTTATATTTTAAATAAGCTGTTAATTTTGTATTTTCAGTTTTCATTTTAATCATTTTAGTACTTCAACATTTTTTTAAGTTTTTTTTATTTTTTATTTTAGTTAACAATAACAACAATGGGGAGGAGTGAGCAAATGCCATCGGAAACGCCTTACCTCTTTCTTTCTCCTCTTTCTCCTCTCATTTGATGTGTATTTGAAGCCTCTCAGTACTTATATAGCTATGCATGTCTTAGAATGCCATTCAAGAGGTGTTACTCATCAGTTTATCTTGTTCACTTAGGTTTGAGACACCTGCAACTCAATTCATTTTGTATGTAACAATTTTTGCCAACCTATTAACATTTGCCAAAAATGCTACACTAGTAACACACCTTAATTTTCTTTCCTCTTCCTTTTTGAGTAATCCCATTGGTGATAAAAGTTTAGTTTGAGTGGATTGGTACACACGACTGAGCAATATGAGGCAAGCAATTAATTCTGAGCATCTAGCATATTTGAAACAAAAGCATGTTTTATCATTTGTTTTTCATTTGTAAAGTGGAAATTATTATCTTTAGTAATTGGTGGTAATTATTTTTTCCGTCCGTCCGTCCGATGGGATTAAATATCATATTCAGATATGCCTCCATTTTGTTAGCAACACCCAACTTCCTACGATCTAATTAATTCCGGAAAGGATGAAATCAAGCCCCACCCCTACATTTTTTTCATTCCAGAAGACGTTTCACTTGGGTATATGTTACAATAGGGAAGAAAAGCCTTGGCGACTACCGTTTCATGCCGACTTTTAAGTTCACTCACTATGGGGTTTAAAAAAAAAAAACTTTTTTTTAACGTAATTTTAACATTGCCAACCTCAAGTTGTATAACAACACAAAATGTTCTTAAATATTGCTGGAACACTTGGACTATTTTAAAACTACTATGAATTGTGGAAAGCTAATATATTTGACATGCAGTGAACCCATCGTCAGACTGACCTGCAGAATTCATCAGCACAATCTTATATCACAATCGCATGCCTGCTTTTCAGCCCTTAAGCCTCTTGGTGCAGACAGGCCATGGAAAATTTTGTGGTATGCTTCAGATTTGGCTCTGTTGTGTAGCTTATTGAGTTTCTGACACCGTTAGCTGTTCCTGCGACGTGTTCCACAGCCTCGCACTTGGCTCGTAGTTAGCTTGCAGTATCTTTTGCGAACAAGGGACTTGGAGCTGTGTTCGCGCTGGGCCACGGGACTGTGGAGGATGACGGTAAAGCGGTCCAGCGGGAACTCTGTGTAAGTGCTTGCACAGGTGTGGCTGAACGTAAAGCGTGTTGGCCTTCGTTCGACTGAGACGAGGGAGATGCTGGGCAACCGAACAGCTGATTCATATACGGTAGGCGGAGATTGTGAGAGAGGAAAAGAATGTAAATAAAAGTGACGGACTGGCCCAGAGCTGAAGGCGAGGAAGAGGGAACATACAGTATGCAGCTGTAGAAGCTATTAGCAGTTGAGGAAGAGGTCAGAGCTACTGTAGTTCACGGTGTCACCTGATGTGTTATCGGAGAGGTAGACAGCGCTCATCTTTATTTAAACATTCCTGCCTTTAAAGGAATTGGAAAAATTATAATTCTATCATCATTCAAATATGGCTCCTCAAGAGACGCAGCACAAAGTTTGATGTCAATGTCAAACCTGGCATGACATGCCTTGATGCAGCATTTTTGAATTCTATGTGTTCAGAATATAGTCATATGGATCACTTTTATGGTCCTTTTTTTTGGAGATTCACAGCCTTAATCCCCATTATGAAAAGGATACTACATAACATGGAGGAAAAAGTGTTAAACTTGTCCATGAAGAGTTCACTTTTAGAAAGGCTGATAATTTCATTATGACCTGTTATATGTAATAGTTCATTTTAAATCCAAATATTTAATTTGTCAAATATTTATATTCATTTGTAAATGGCACCTATTTTGTAGAATGAGCCATTATTATTTATCACAGCTCATTACTCATTATTTGAGATGTTCTGTTTTCATAGCTACTAAACATATCTATAAGCACTCTATTCTATTAGAAAGCATGACATGATTTCTCCATCTCAAACCTTTGAGCATCTCTGCAATGCAGCAGCGAGTGTAAAGCCTCTGGGTATCTTAATTCACTGTGTTTCTCTGCACTGCAGTATTATTCTACTGAAATGTTCAACCTCAGGCTGTATCTGTAGTCCTGGAAGTTGTTTGTGCGTCTGTCTTTCTCTCTGTTTCTGTCTTTGTTGGACTCTCTCAGTGGAGCCGGTTTCTGCAGAGCTGTGCGTGTGGAATAGTGAATAGATCTCGGTTGGAGCCCAGCTCTCGCTCTCTCCCAGCATAACTCTCACATCAGAGGATGAGTGCCACTCACCCCTCTCATTCACCTCCTGCCATTGTGCTCTGAGAGATTAGTCTGGGGTTAGAAGGTTGTCTGTTTCTCACCTACATCCAGAACCCACTTTTCAAATCGCTTAATAAAGGAATAGTTCACATAAAAATGAAAACTCATGTAGTTCCAAATCCAAACGGCTTGCTTTCTTTCTGAAGGCGGAGCTTATTGCACTTTTCCATGCAATTTACAAATAAAGGAGGACTGAAGCTTTCAAGGTTCAAAAAGGACACAAAAGCATCATATAAGTATCGTCTGAACTCGTACGATAGCTTTGTGTAAAAACAAAGGTGACGACCAAAAATACGCAGATAATTATCCTCAATAGACAAGTTTGAATTAGTGCTGTCAAATCGATTAATCATGATTAATCACATCTAACATAAAAGTTTTTGTTTACATGTGTGTTTATATATTATTTTATTTATATGTGTGTGTGTGTGTGTGTGTATATATGTATATACACACACACACGCACACACACAGATATATATGTAATAGGTATAATTTTTGTCAATAAGAATGAATCGAATCTGTTTAAATGAACTCTAAACGTGGCAATCCAATTCACATATTCGTTTACGTGTGCATTACATGTATTCAAAACTTCAGGTATTTTTTAATCTGAATGAGAAAAAAGTCTGATTCAAGTCATTTACGTGCTTGTTTTTTTTCCTGTTGATCAAATAATTTCAGGTCTGCACCCTTTTAATCTGATCGAAACTTCATTCAAATCCATTGAGGTCTTTACATGAAGGCTTTTCAGTCTTATTGAGCCATAAATCCGATTATAAACAGATTATTTGGGTGCATATAAACGTAGCTAATGAGTTGTGACCGGATCATTGAATCATTGAGTTAAACTTGACTAACAAATCAATCCGATTCGTAAATGAATCATTGAATAAACAATGAACCGATTAATTTATAAGACTCAAAAGAGTGATTTGTTCATGAATCTTCTCTCATAAACTCTTATGAATGTGTTTTCATTGATGTGTCTTTAATGTTTGGTCTATTTCTCAATCATAGAGTGACTTCAGAAGAGTTGTATAAACTGCTTTCAAGATGCTTTCATGATGTTTTTGCATCCTTTTTGAAACTTAAAAGCCCCAGCCACCATTAACTGTTGTTGTAAAAGACCATGGTAAAATGTTCTCTTTTTTGTGTTTTGCGGAAAGATTTGGAAAGACATGAGGGTAAATAAAAGATGCTAGATTGTTCCGTACTTCTTCAACACAAAGGCATATGGTATTATTGTGGCCGTCCTGGAATGTCGTCTTGAGATTCATCTCAGTGTGTTGTTTCAGAATGACCCCCTGCACCTCTGCTAAGAGCACAGCACCCGCTGCGTTTCGTCAAAGCCTCTGAGCTCTCATGCTTTGCCCTGCTTAGAGCTCAAATCCATCCCATTAGAGCAGCTTCCTTCTTTTCAGGCGGGGAACACTGTGTACCCCTCGCTGTGTCTACTGGGAAAGCACACCAACTGTGTGCTGATGCAGATCTCTCAATGCAGCGTTTACATTATGTGCTGGAGTCGATGCTTGTGTTTTGAACGGTGATGTGTATAATTGTTGGTTAAGTGATACATACAGTGACGGGCAGATTAGGCATGAAACATACTTTATGCACGTACGTATTTCTACATTGTCGTCATTTACAGTTTGAAAAGGATTACGTTTTTTGGAAAGATTTTTTTTGTCAGTATTATTTGGTGAAAAGAAAGTTCTTATGTACACTGTAAATGTCTTTGCTGTCACTTTTGATTTAAAGCATCCTTGTTATTAATTTACTTCACATCTTACTGACCCCAAACCTTTGAAGAGGAATGTACTTTTTATGTTAGGTTATGGTAAGAGTACTTTTATCATACAGAATATATTATTTAGTTGTTTTGG